TCCCTTCCTAAGCTTCATCTACCCGCAGCTATTTCTGGCAAGGGGATTGTCCCTTCCTAAGCTTCATCTACCCGCAGCTATTTCTGGCAAGGGGATTGTCCCTTCCTAAGCTTCATCTACCCGCAGCTATTTCTGGCAAGGGGATTGTCCCTTCCTAAGCTTCATCTACCCGCAGCTATTTCTGGCAAGGGGATTGTCCCTTCCTAAGCTTCATCTACCCGCAGCTATTTCTGGCAAGGGGATTGTCCCTTCCTAAGCTTCATCTACCCGCAGCTATTTCTGGCAAGGGGATTGTCCCTTCCTAAGCTTCATCTACCCGCAGCTATTTCTGGCAAGGGGATTGTCCCTTCCTAAGCTTCATCTACCCGCAGCTATTTCTGGCAAGGGGATTGTCCCTTCCTAAGCTTCATCTACCCGCAGCTATTTCTGGCAAGGGGATTGTCCCTTCCTAAGCTTCATCTACCGGGTTTTGATGGTGGCTCACGCCACCGGTCCATGAACTTCTTCCACTTGTCGATGGCGTTGAAGGCCTCGCTCGCCGGCGTTGATGGCGTTGGAGCCAAGCGGGTGACCGGTGACCAATCTGAGGTTGGGTGAGGTAGGAAACCCTGAATAAGGTGGGGTAAGGTGGTCATAAAACCAGAGGAAACCCCTGAAACGTGTAAGGTGGACACAGAAATCACAACCTAAATCATGTACATCAAAGGCCCCAAGTAATTCAAAAAACTGTGTGGGACCTCACGTGTCCATCTCTGAAACCAGAGGGGTTGGTTCAATTGGTATGTTTGGTATGAAGCGTGCCCATTGAGAAAACATGTGTAGCCATCGGTGATACAGTTGGGTGAAAGTGGATAGCACGACTTTCACATGTTGGCACGCAAGTGGAGGCTTACATCCCAAACTTAAACCAACAAATGCCATTGGCAAATGGCCCAAGGCCAAACTTGCTTGGACAAACTGGCACTAGGCACCCAAGTCTCTTCTGGCTGTTCTTGGGGGAATCTCCCAGCAAGGGGCCCATGACTCCAAAATATAAGCTATTCCAGCGCCAGCCAGAAGATTCAAAACAACATTGGCGCGGCCACATGTTCGCTGGCCATTGCCCCTTTTCTGACCCTCACCCCCCCCCCCTTCTCCCGTATGATGGACACTTAGGGTCTATTTTGCGGAACCTCCTTCTTTCGCAAAATAGGCTCGTTTTCCGACCCTCACCCCCCTGACCCCCCCCCCTTCTTTTCGGGTATTGGTATTTCACGGTTGGCATTCGCAAAGTTGACTCGTGTCCATGGCCCCCCCCCCCCCCCGGTCCCTCCCTCCCATCGCCTCCTTGTAGGTGATGCCACACCGGGTCGGCACCGGGGAGGGCGCCGCCGCAGCCACGGGCATCTGAGCACGGCAGATGGAAATCCAATTCACCAGGTGCTTTCTGGGAGAAACACGGCCACAGATCACTGATGTTCTTCCATTTGCGTTTTCGCAACCTGGAAGGAATGAGCAAATATGTCCAGTAGTGATAAATTCCCTTTAAAGCCAAAAGGGAGAATAAAAATGATGGTTCATGTTGACCCAGGATCTAAGTAGAACCCGTCCTTCCTTTTTAGAGGGGTCTTCCCTCCAAAAGTGGTCTGAGTCCCCACTAAAAGGAATTGGACACCCCCCGAACAAAACCAACCAGGGGTTTAACTTCATCCTGGGGTAGCATTACTCCAAAACAAAACTCCGAGAAAAAAAAACTGTCCTCACTTTTGCGGGGCATTCCAAAGAACGTGGGTCCAACTAGTGGGCTTGATTGGGCTTGCCTCGAATCGGGGAACCTGAGGTAACTTTCGAATCGATTCCAGTCAGCTCCGGTAGACATTGGGTGAACATAATATGGGTGTGGCTCAAAATTAACCGGGAGGGGTTACGCAAACCGCAGGTGTTGGTCCATGTTTCCACTTGCCAGGGCAACCCAGTTTGGAATTCCGGTTTTTTGAGCCACAGCCATATGGTATGGATATATGGCATGGTATCACTCTGGGCTGTTCAAACTGGGTTGGGTTGGCCAATCCGATTTTCCATAATTGGTTCACAACACCCGGAAGGCTTTTTTCCCCCATTGGGCCCATCCCAAGTTTCATCTGCCTTTTGACCTGAAGGGAATCGAGTCTAGAGCGCAACCAGCTGAAGCAACCATCCATTCAACCCTGAAGAAAACTTCGGGACCCCGTACAGAATGCCCCTACCCAAACTGGCGCATGATTGTATGCAAAAAGACCATGCTGAGCATTTCGGGCGGATAGTCAACACGTGTAATTTTGGGGGAAGATCCCAACAAGGACTGGGCACGGCCCCTTCAAACCGCCTTTCTTCTGCCGAGTTGCGCGGTGAGGCGCAGGTGGTGCCAGTTGCGCCTCGGAACCGCAAGCCCGAAGCAAACCAGCGGGGAGTCGCCTATTCCGAGAAAACATGCACGCATTTTGATTTTAAATATTTTTCAATCCAAAGATGGAACAGCTGCTTTTTTGTTTGTCAGTTGTCTTGTGCTTTGAGTAGTTTATGTGGTAAGTATGTTGTATTCATGGGTTAATTGTTTAATCCTTGGTTCACCTTTAGACCTATCCAGGAGGAGGTCCACCATTTTGAGGACCATGAAACGAACGTGCAGCAAGCGGGAAGCGACCCTTGGCAACGGTGGCCGGGTTGCTTACAGAGTCAGTCGTACGCATATGGATGACCATTGGTTAGAAACCCACTTAAGATGAGATGTTCCACATCTGGAAGCTTCCATTTGCGTTGTCGCCCCCTGGAAACAATAAACATACTTCCCGTAGTGACAGATTCCCTTTAAAACTAACAATGGAACATAAGAAAATATTCTTAAGCAACTGGAAGTAAGTTAGCCATGGTCGTTGCGTTCCTAAGGGAAAAAGGGCATCAACCCCCACATGGCTGAAGAATTCCTAGACCTTCAGGCTTGTAATCTGGGCTGTCCGTTTTCCGATCCCCTGCTAAACGTGAAGTTCCTTAAAATTGAAAGTTAATTACTAAACTTACCAAACCAAACAAAGACCTAGAAACTTAAGGGTGTGGCTGGGAACCACGAAGTCATTGCAACAGGTTCCAACAAATGTGAGCCAATTGAATCGACCCCGTTGCACAGAAAGAAGTTGACCGTCGCACGTTCCAGCCAAGGCGCAGCAAGGTGATTGGTTCGGCCCGCGGTTCAAGCCTTTTGCTTCATTTCTTCAACTCACGCGCTGACAACCCACCAGTTACACGCATGCCTTATAAGACAGCGGAACCAACTCCCGCTTTCCGGTTCTTGCGGGGTCCCCGGCGGGTGCAGAGCCACGTAGGACCCTCTCCGGTGCCTGGAAAATGCTCTTCATGCGGTGGGGGGTCAAACGTAGAGGCCTTTTTTATCCCCTGAAAAAGGCGGCACAAGGCGGGACCAGGGAAAGGGCGATAGTTGTTTGACAGATCCAAGGCAAAATGGCCAGCTTTGCACTCTAAACGCATCCAGGCTTCACCGTTCACCAACAAACAAGAGCAAGAATCCTTTAACAAGGCTGGACCTCCCACCTGTGCCAAGCCAGCTTGTCGAAGAAAAAAGACCTTGCGCCAGAGGGTCGCACCCCCGCTGCCTCACATGTTGCTCTTGCTTATGGCAACATACGGAGACGTTGTCTTTGCACGCCCCTGCCAATTTCCACCCGTCACTGCCAGCCTGCGGCATGGGCTGCGGCACGGGCTGCGGCAGCTGCGGGGCCGCCTTCGGCTGCGCCTGGCCAAGGCTCAAGTGCGCGAGTCGCGCGCAAACGCCGCGCCTTCACCCCAGCTCTTGCCCGCCACTGAGCTGTCAGATGCCCCGCGAAAAGTAAATAACTTGTGGGCTAAATGGAAAACCCCGCTAAACACGAAAAAGCTAAGAAGCTAAGAAACTAAGGGCTGGGAGCCACCAAGGGGTCCGGGCCCAAAGACCTTTTCCAGATTTGCATGTTCCCCTTGCTCATAAATCCTCGTGCCAGCGTGTGTTGGCTGGCAGTTCCGGGCCCTTGCCTCCACAGCTGGCTGACCTCAGGTTGAGGAACCTCCAAAAATGCGGGCGCACGTGCGTGTGGGCGTATGTTTTTCCACTCAACCCCCGCGAGGGCTTGCCAACAAGTTTCAACAGCGCCAAAACGTTTGGCATCGCAACATGGGCCCCAAAAGGGCCGTCTCATCAGCAAAAACGCGCCCCCCCCTAGCATCTTGATCTGCGACGCTCGCGCAGGGCATGGCAAGGAAAAAAACCAGCTCCAGTGCCTCAACCTCAGCCCGTTTGTCAAACAAGTGTCAAGGCCTGAAATCAGTTCCTCCAAACGGGCCAATGGGAAGACGCAATAGAAGCCATGCTGCCATGCTGATCAACTTCGATTGACCTATCATCACGGCTGACCATCCCCCTGCGCGAACAGTTTAACGCTTTTGCTGTTCAATGGAAACAAACGTCATGTCCCAAGTTAAACCCTCAAGGTCCAACCAAAAGCGGCCAAGATGCAGTGGCCAAAGGAACTTGCTGTGGGGCCTGTTTTTTTTCTGGGCGCCCCTCCAGATTCATGGCTTTTTGATTTCCCTCCAAGCCACCCCTGGTTCAACGGGCATCGCAAAAAGACAGACCTCATGCCAGCTCAAGGTTCCACGCCAAAAACAAGGACTGAGTCACCGGCTTGGCTTCCGCAGCCTTGGGCAACACCACTGTCTGACAAGACGTTCATCCGAAGTGGTCTGAACGGCAATGCCAAACTCCCCTTCTCACCCAGAGGGGTTCCAACGCCCTGAAAAAGTCTAGGGTCAGCCGACCCAGCTGCACAGTTGGCCCGTTCTCCTAACGCCCGAACTCGGGTGACCGTTGCGACGAAGTGGCAAGCAAGGGCTCGCTGAACATGCAGCCATTCAGGCCAAACCCCCTACTCGAGGTGCAAAGTGGCACGCACACACAAACAAACACATGTGATTTGAACATGCGCTGCGATCAAAGGTTGTCAGGGAGCTAAACAACCGGTTCGCGTAGTCGTTCGTACTAAATTGGGGAGCCCCTAAGATAAATGACAAATCAATGGTTTCTTCTTTTCAAGCAACCCGCTTTCGGGGCACCCTCAAGAAGCCTGTCCTGCAATTTGGGCTTCACCTGTGAGCCTGCCAATGCACCGGGACCAAGTCCCTTTTTGGAGGAAGGTGGCTTTGGAGGAACCTTCATGCAGGTTCCAATGCCTTGCCAAGCTCGGCTTGCCGGCTTCCCGCATAGCAGAAACAAAAACGGAACCAAACCACTGAACACACCTTTCTCAGCTGAGTGTCAGTTTGCTTGGTCGTTTCAGAATCGTGCAAGTCCACCTCCCCCGTTCAGGCAATTTCGGACAAACAAACCCGCTGCCCACCACCAGCACCACTACCACGACCACCAGCACCAGCATCACGACAACGGCAGCGACAACCAACAACAACCACCAACAAACAACATATACATACATGTATGTGTATTTCTATTTATATCTGTTCACACATACGTAAACATACATGTACACATACGTAAACATGTTCACACACACATATATATCCGCACGGCGCGTACCCTAGACTTCCAAAGGACATTTACAATAAATGGCCGAGGTGGTAAAGTACATTTTCTGGGAAAAGGCATTTTTTGCTTAAATTAGGTCGGATCATGATTTTCACGAAAAACCTACTTAAAAGTAGGTGGAAGGGGCTGCACAGTCCCATTTTGCTGAGCTTGAGAGTGCTTCGTGCGCTTCGCAGGGCTGCCTTCTGCCGAAACTTGCCAACGTCAGCCACGGGCAGTTCTCGCGAACTCTTTGTTTGATATATGCATGTACTGGTCCAGCATACATCTATCAATCCACGCATATGTGGCGCACAAGTCTTTCATTGCCCCATTTCCAAGCCAGAAAAGAGCAACAAAGTCCCGAGAAGACACGTGCCGCGAATTGACACCAAAATGGTGCAAAAACGGGGTGTGCAGAAAATGTCTTCTCTACCGCAATAAATGGCCGTTTTACGGCAGAAAATGTACTTTCTACGGGTTGTCTACGGTTTGTCTACGGTCCCTCTCGGTTGCAAGCAACGAGCTCAACAGATTTTGGTTTTACGATTCGACCTGATGTGAATATCCCGATTTTGCAATGTGTTTCCCCTTCTGCGGAATCAAGTACTAGTACCCCTAACTTGCACCTTACTTTTCGTAGCAGTTTGTTTGCTTGACTATGGTTTTCCGACTGGTTTTTCTGTGGTATGTCTATGGTATGTCTATGGTTTGTCTATGGTTTGTCTATGGTGTCAATTTGCCCTGATCAGAGCACTAAGAAATTGGGCCCCATAGTGGATGCAAAAAATGTCCCTTCGCGAGCAAAACATGTCCGTTGTCCCAAGGACATTTATTTAATGGCCGAATATCAACGAATCGCTTCCCCCAGCAAGACACACTGTATGCATACGTCTACACATGGCATATCAACACGTGAATTGTATGCAGATAAAGACGCATCCAAGCAGCAGTGCCCCGGTGAGGTGGCTAAACACGAGTTGGCCCTTGGGCGTTTGGAAGCTCTGCACCCAGGGCCGGTTCTCCATGGATTGGGCCACCTGACGGCGGGATCCAATGATCCGATCGGGGCCAAACAAACTGGGGGGGGGGGTCTGTTGGGGGGGTGGTTGTTGTTTGCGAGGTGGGGGGGGGTGGGCGGGGATTGTTGGGAGGGGTGAGGGGTGTTGTTGCTAAAAACAGAAAACTGAGCTAGGCTATGAATGGAGGCCCAGCTAAATCGGGGTGATGCTTTGGAAGAAAGGGGGCTGAACAAAGGGGGGTGGTTCAGCAGGCTTGGCATTATGAGGAAGAAGCCTTGCAAACAAAAAGCTCGCATGCTAAGTTAACCGGCAGGCCTCTGGCTGGTTGTCACTTTCCTGGGAGATGGTGAGCCTCCTTTCCGGGTGGCCGACATCAATTACACAAAGAGCTTTTTGCCAGGACCGCGCATCCCTGCCGTTAAGGTTAACATTTGCTCGGCATGAAGTGTCAGGCGTATGACAAGAGGGTCTTTCTTCGGCCTGCGGGGATTGCAAGTCCGGGACGGTGATTTCAGCTGGCGGTTTCTTGAAGAACCCGCAGCCAATTTGGAAACCTTCAGCTCCTTGGCTCAACCTGCAATGTGGACTTTTCCCCGGACGCTGCAGCTCGTTTGTCCTAAAGCTGGCTGCAATACGCACAGTGCCAAGTTGGCTTGCAGCTTCCTTCACCAGGCCAAGCCAACTTGCCCAAGAACATCAACAAAGGCACAACCGGAGATTAAACATTCACCAACATTGAACCTTTGGGCAACTTAAGGCTGCAAGGATGGCAATGTGCCAGGTCTTGCCCTCCGCGCATGGAACTCAGTGCTTGCTGCAAACAAGTGCTACAGCGGGGTGCCTTGTGTGGATCAAACGCCTCTGATCTGTTTGTTCCGCTCCGTGCTTCAGCGCTTTGCGCTGGCTTCCAACTTGCCGCTAACCGGCGCACCCTGTCCAAACGTCCGAGCCCCAGCCTCATCCGAAGGAAGATTTTGGTTCAGCTTCTGCATGATATCCCACAAGGTCCACCTCAGGTCAAACGGAAATTTCCCGCTGAACGGTTGATCGATTTAGAGGTCCAAAAAGGGACAATTTAGGAACCTCGGTGCGAGTCCGGCAATTGCTGCCTTGCCCTTTCCGTTCACTTGGCTGTATGCCATACATGTGAGTCAACCAACCTGTTTATTCAGGAAGAGGGGGTGCTTTTCCCTGGGTGAAATGTGGGGAATCAGACCACTTTTGGAGGGGCCTGATTGATATGGGGTCAACATTAGGTTGGCCACAAAAGCTGACGACTCTTTGCCACACCTTCATAGAAACTGAAAACCGACGAAATTCCAGAAACAGGGGAAGTGAGTTGACCATGCCGGCTTCATGGTGTGCCTTGTCCACTGTTTGTGGGATAAATTAGCAGCCCCTAGTTTAGAAACCCTTCAAGGGAGGCTGTTCGTTTCAGAGGAAAAGGCAAACCCTGGCGTCGGCTTCAGTTGTCCGACGTCGGCTTCAGTTGTTCGACCACTTCTTGCTTAGGAGCCCTCCCTTCTTTTGCTTCGGATGCAACGTTCCACATGGTTTGTGCATGACACACCGTGCCCTAGGCTGCTTGACAGGCCATACTAAGTGTGCATGGGTGAACTGTACTACTCAGGAACGGACACAGGCCATACTAAGTGTGCATGGGTCGACTGTGTCGAGAGTCACCTCATGTTCTTTCGGGGGCTCTCCCGACTTGCACAAAGAGACGAGCTGCCAGTGGTCTGGAGACGTGAGGTGCTCCTGGGCATCCTGGCGCCGGAGGCCAAAAACATCTCGTAGGCTACGAGATCTTCGGTACCCACATGGCCATGGGTCAAAAGCCAACTAAACAAGCTGAAAGCCTCAGGGGATGCATGGGGAAACACCTAGACATATTCTCCAAACATATTTTTAAAGCAGGTGTTGTTTCATATTTGGCCATGGGTCAAAAGCCAAATCGTACTCTCAGCGAACATCCCAATCCAACTACTACAATAGGTTCTAAAATGGATGGTGCACCGAAAACCCCAAAATGGGATCCCATTGGTTTTGACCCACAGCCACATCTCTCGCTGAGCTTGAACGCTTTTCCCTGGGTGAAATGTGGGGAATCAGACCACTTTACAGGGGCCCAAAACCACCCCCCTGTTGATTAGTATGGGGTCATTACATTTCCCCCCCCCCAAATCAAGGATTAAGGGGGGTGGTGTTGGAAAAAGGTGCGTGGTCATGCCGGATGTTCCTACACCGGCTAAACTCCTTGAACAAACACGAGGCGGGTGATTGGTAGGTAGGGAAGCGAAACCATGGGTGGAACTGAAAAAGAAACGCGACTACAGGAGGAGTCCCTTCCTATTCATTAGCTGGGATAGTGAGGGCCATTTGAGGCCCAGTGCCCCTTTTCAGCTTGGGGCTTCCGAGCGCTAACTCGCCACTTGTGGCTGCTTTCTCCAATGTGAATGAGTGGACTCTTGCTGGCCTGGGCCATTTCAAAAGGAGTTTGGGGAGGTCCTGGTATGCTAAATTCACAGCTGCTATGTGATCTGCTACCTTCACTCAGAACTCTGGCAAACTGCGGCCCAGTTGTTGCAGGAATTTGGGAAAAAACCTGCCATGTTCGCAGGCCATTGCTCACCAACATGCCTCAGAAAGGCTCTCTGGATCTGGCTTTCTTCCAAAAATAAGTCTGTATCTCCAACAAAACTTATAGCATCTACTGAACATTTGCGGCTTCCCATGAAAACTTTGAGCGGATTTCGGACACCCCCCGAAACACCAACTGACAACAACTAAAAACCCAAGGAACCGGATGGACATGGACCCTAAAAACCCCGAACAAAAAAACAACCTAAGTTGAACCAAGGTAGGCATGTGGTCCCACCTAACTTGAACCGGATGGCCTTCTGGAACCATCTGGGTAGGAACGACCACAAGAATGGCTTGCCAAAGGTAGTCACCACAAAAAATTGGAAACCCAACCACCAAGGTCACCAAACCCACTAAAGAAGAAATGGACACCACCAAGTTGCACCAAACATCAAACAAAATCGACCATCACCACTAAACCCCATGAAACCACCAAGGCCATCACCCAAAGTCGACCAACATTTGGCATCACCTGAGCCACGTCTCTCCAACGCCTCCATGGGCTGCTTGCAGAGCTGGCATTCCGCGGGCTCGCCCAGCCGCTTCGTTAGCTCAGCGGCCGGGGCCTCCTCGATTTCGTTGGAGCGTTTGTTTTGGTTAAGCGGCGCGTGGTGGTTTTGGGTGTGTGTGTGTGTGTGTGTTTTTTTTTTTTCTGTTTTTTTTTTCACGTTTTCGCTTGGTGGTTTTGGGTGGTTGTTCAGTGGTCTTCAGAAGAGTTGGGTCTCGCGTTTTGTTTTTTTTCTCCGCGTGGTGGTTTTGGGGGCTCCCCGTGGGCTTTTCGGAAGAAAATGGGTCGATGCTGGTTTGTTTTTGTGCGCGTGTGGTTTGGGTGTTCCCAGCGGTTTTTTCAGAAGATTTGGGTCCTGCCTCTTGTTTTGGGGGAGCCTCCCAGAGATGGTGGGTTGTCCTGTTGAAGTTTCCTTTGAAAACCAACCAAAGATGGGTCCCTAAAAATTCTGGAGACTGGGTGTTGGTGGTATTCGCAGTGTTTTCTGAGCTTTGCAGCGCTAAAACTACATCCCAGGAGCACCCCTTTTGAAAAACAAAAACAAAAACGACCAGGTTCATATGTTTCTTCGTGCGGGCGTCCTTTCCAGTCCGTGGGCCTGCTTTTTCAGCTTTTCCGGCTTGAATTGTTCACCTTCTGACCTTCTGGGCGGCGTGTTTTCATGGAATTGGAGTCACACCTTCTTAGCTCGTGAATCTGACTCCCAGATATGCAGCTTTGGAAGTTCGGGCCCTGCTTCCAGCAAACCAAGTACCAAACCAGCTCACGCGCGGCGTCTGGCGTCTGGCCGTTCGCTCAACGTGCCACAGATCTGTGTTTCGGTGCCGCAGTCTGAAGCTCCTCCATCAAAGCGGCTCCCCGAATGGGAGCCAGTACATGCCGCTGCCCTCTGGGACCCGTTAGCCCAGCAAGTGACCCCCCTCCGGGGCAACTCGTTGCCAGCAAATCTTCGCCGAGAATCCATGAAGTACCACCAGTTGTACTTGTCATCGATGGCAGTTCGGAACTCCATGTTATGCTGCGTGCACCTCGACAAAAGTGGGCAAGTGCAAAGCATAGCACTTGGCAGCTTCGACGGATGCAATGAGGGAAGGTAGCAACTTGAACTATCTTTAAGCGGGCCGTTTGGGTTTTAAAGCAAATCCCAAAAATCTCGGATTTCATCAGCACAGTCAAGGCACCACTCTGGCTCTGGCGCAACTGATGCAACCGCTGCAACCGGTACAGCCGGCGCGGTCGGCACAACCGGCATCGGCGCCGGCGGCATCGCCGGCGGCACCGGCGTTGGGAAGGGGGCCTGTGCTTGCACCGGCGGTTGCATCGCAGGTGCCGGTGCTGGAGCTGCAGGCGTGGCAGCTTGGCCTGAGTCAGAGGGGGAAGCGTTTGGGCACTTTTGGGACGCTACACGACGGTATTCTTTGGAGGGCGCCTTTCTTGGGGTGGTCGCACAGGGGGCCCGAAGAAAAGCCGCCCATTTTGCGGGGGTCCGCGATTCTGGAAACTGCTGGATGGCTGGCAAGAGAACAGGCATATGCAGGCCTCCGGCGGCCAAACCCCCGCCTCAAATAGTCACGCTAACCAGCCTAGGTCCTCCAGTAGAGAGGTTAGAATAAGGGTACCAACTTTTTTCGGTCGTCTATGTTAGTAGCGGAACCCTCCCCCCCCCAAAAAAAAGAAAAAAGAAGAAAAACAAAGTAAAAAGTAAAAAGGGCACTACAGGGGGACCTAGAAGTTGCGCATGCCTCCCTGCTTTTGAGCCAAGGTACCGCCGGACACCTGAAACTTCACTGCTCCGGTGAAGTGGTTGAACAGCAGCGCTCCGCCCGGCACTTGCCAGGATTGGACCCATTGTCGATCCATCCGCATGACCTCCTCTGGCGGCGGCGGGGCGCCGTTCACCTTCTTCCACAGCGCAGTCCTCAGCAATGGCGCTTTCAGCAGAACGTGAAATCGCCTCAAGCTTTGGGCCAAAAATCCCAGGCTCCGACTCAACACACACATGCCACTGCCTTCCTGAACAAAGCATTCGCTCCTTTCGGCATTCTCTCAACCAAGCGTGATGCCAAACTCGGATTCCCATCCCTACATGACAACCTTGCCACTTCTTTAAAGGAAAGGTCCCTTGGAGTGCCACTTTAAAGGGCTGGGTCATGGGGGGTCGCCACTTTAAAAGGGGGGGGGTTGGCGTGCCACTTCTTCCATGGGTGGGTCATGGGTCCCGGGTCCCTCGTAGGCCGTGCCACCCCAAGCTTTGCCAAGCCGCCAGTGGCCTTTGGACTTGAAGTGGTCGTGGGTGCCTCCCAGGCTCCGGCAAAAGCGACCGATCCACAGCCCGCGAGTCCACGAGTGCGTGGCGCGAGCTTGAGACTTGGCAAGCCACTCTTTGCACGAGCTCAAGAAAAGAAGTTTGATCGCCTCATGTTCAGCTGGCGGGTCTTTTCATTTGTCGTTTGCTCGAGCTTTGCTGGCACTGAGCCGCGGTCGTTTCGCTTACTGCACCGCCTCAGCTGGCGCTCTGCTTGTCACGCTATCCCTTTGGCAGGCAAGACTGCAAAGTGAAGCAAACTCGAGCCAGCAGCAAGCCGTTTCACGGGTTGGGCCTGGTGGTTTAAGTGCCGCCGCGACAAGCAACTGCCACAGCGTTGGTGCGTGTGTGGTTGCAATCTAGCTTAGTTAAGGACATGTCTTACTTAAGGATGGTTCGAAGCAGAATCATTGCACAAAGCAGCTGTAAACATGTGGGTGTGGGTCAAAAATAGGTACCCCAAATGGGGCCCTGGTGAATGGAAACATGGACTAAAACCTGCGGTCCCCTGGTGGTTTGATTTTGACCCATAACCAAGTAGACACCCCTTTCGATTTCCTGCCTCTTGTCATGGCCTTGTTCTCGCAAACTGCGCAGGGATGATCCCAGCGACAAGTACGCTTTCCCAGCTCATCATCCAGCAACGCCGCAGGCTTGTCCTGGCATTGGAGATTTCAGGAGGGCCTTGTGGGTGGCCTGTCCGTGGAAAGTTTCAGGAACCATGGTTGTAACATGTTGTAACCTTAGGGGACTTACTACCATAGCCTGGTTGGCGGGGGCGCACCCTAACAAACACAATGTGGAGCCCTCGAAGAGGAACCTGAAAAAGGGTCCCTGTTCGAACATGGTCTTGCTACCCTCTGCTTTGGCTCGGTTCTACAAGTCTTACGCCATCGCTCTATAAATCCTCAGTTGTTCAGTGACCCTGGAGGAAAAAAGGGAACCGTTTTTTGGGAAGACCATTTTAGTGGGGCAGCCACCCAAAAAAAAAAGAAAAGGAAAAAGGGAGCCACTGAACAACTGAGAATCAGTTCCTCTGTAATCAGCGATGCACATTCAACTTCTCGAGCCACTCGAGGGGGGGGGCTCATTGTGGACCTATGGGCAACCCTTGCCAGTATCCTGAGCACGTGCCTCTGCCTCCAAATGCTGAATCAATGTGGGCGCACGCGGGTATGTGTCAAGGCTCCGTACCCTTTTCTAAGCTTGACCTTCAGTTTCAAGGGCGGCCAAAAGGGGAACCGCCCAGTTTTGGGGGGTACCCCAAAAATGGACACAATGCCCTTCTGAGTGACCAGGCCATGAAACCGGAAGCTCTCTGTTGCCATGGGAAGCCACGTCACCCGTCCACCAGAGCTTTCCAGGCTTCCACCTTCTGAAGGGCGGCCAGGTATCCTGAGCTTATAGCTTAGGCCCGCACCAAGGATCTTAAAACGGTGGCCCAAAGCCGTTTGGTCGAAACAAAACAGGGAGACCAAAGGAAACCAACCACCTGGAAGGGCCCATAAATTTGAGCAACACCCACATGACTCATCATGCACTCAAAACAAGTCAAGTCCTCAAGTCGCTACCTCGAGGAAATAACGCCACTGCCAAAAGTAATCCGCCGCTGCCTCAGAACACCAACGGTATGCCCAATGCCAACCGTTCACTAGTCTCACTTCCTGCGTACAGCACCAGGCGGCCAAGGTTGTGGTCGACCAGAAGGTCGGTGGCACCCTGCCTTGGATTCGTGAACAGCTGGAGCTAGGTCCTCCAGTAGAAGGGTTAGAATAAGGCTTAGGGTACCAACTTTTTTTCTGCAGTCTTTTTTAGTAGAAAAACCCTCCCCCAAAAAAGGAACGGTAAAAGGGCACCACTGGGGGACCTAGTGGAGGGATAAGGGATTTTTGCTCATGACTTCCCTTGCAGTCCTGGGCCGACCCCTTATCCATACCATCCCACCTGCTTTAAGCTGCGATTTGCGGCTACATCTCCAGCAGAAGTGGAACATGTTGCATTTTGGAGATACCTGAAATGCCAATCACCACCTAGGTCCTCCAGTGGAGAGGTTAGAATAAGGGTACCAACTTTCTTCTGCAGTCTATTTTAGTAGGGGAACCGAATCTCTCAACCAAAAAAGGGGTGAGAGGTGGAGCACCCAGCTGGGGGACCTAGCCACCAAAGGCTGGGGGAGGGGGGAAAAAAACTGGACTCGAAGGCGCCAACCTCGCTCCAAAATCCTGTCAGCGTCCATTGGAAAAGAAGGCGGTGAAACGGCATGTCGTTTCTCGGTTGCCAAATCTGCGAAGCCCTGCTAAAAGCTAATAACTTTCAGTGGTTTAATTCGGAAAACCCATTAGTTGGCAAAAAGTGATTCAGTCCGAACATCCCTTGGCAAAATGCACCGAAGGTTTGTACTCCTCTTTCAAAGGCTCCCTCTTTACAAGCAAATTTGGATGCGCCCAGCTCCCTAACGGCTCCTTTCTTTAACTGCCAGCTAGGAAGGAAATATGGCCATGGGTCAAAATCCCCTACCCCCAGTGAACATCCCAATCCCCACAAGAATAGGTTCTAAAATGGGTGGTGAATTCACCTACCCCAAAATGGGATACTATTGGTGTTGACCACCACGGCCAAATATGTTGTACCTGTTTTTTTTGTTTTTCTGCAGTCTATGTTAGTCTGGGAACCCTCCCCTCAAAAAAGAAAAACGGCAGAAGGGCACCACCGGGGGGACGTCCCAAAAGTGAGCCCACATTCTTCCAGCGCCTCCATTGTTCGGGGGGGGGGCCTTTATTGATCAAGTTCCAACATTACCGGCATCAACTTCCGCCCGGCCGCGGGCTTGCCGCCATCATCGGCGCGGCTGGCTGAGCCAGTGCTGGCATTGCCGGCTGCGCCACGGGCGGCGGCTGCGCCACGCCCGGCGCCTGGCACCGGGAGGCGCGGAGGCGAAACGCGGGCAGCGCAGTGGAGGGGAGGCGTCAGGCAAGTGGCGCTTTCTTCCATTTGCTTAAGCCCCATGGACAAAAATCCAGTAGTGATCGATTCCTTTTAACACCAACACGGGAAATGAACAAAATAGTCTTAAACAAATGGATGTGGTTGGGTGCTGAAGCGACCCCTCAGCAAAAAGTGACCAACTTTGTGGATAAGAAAATCCGACCTGGTTCAACGAAAAAGTTTAAGTCTCAAGACAGCATTTGGCCAGCCTTCACAAGATAACCTCCGATCCTGATAGTGTTTCAGGTGTCATTCAATCAATGGCAAACCTCAAGGGCGCGTGGCACATTTCCACTTGTAGCTACGGCTTATATATTTTGTTCGCAATCATATGCCTTCTGGTGCTCAGTGGGGAATGACCCAGCGTGTTGGCAATGAACAGGGATTCCCTCAAAGGAAATGATAGATTAGTTTATAGGGGTCATTCCTGCCTATCGAACCAGCAAGCAAGGCTGCCGCACTTGGGATGCCCAGCCCAGGGTTTGCAGTTCATAAGAAAAGTCCGCTAGAACTTACAAGGCACGCATTGCGCCACCTGCTCCCTCCCGTCCTGCGGACCCGTTGGCGTGTCAATCAGCTGCCTGCAGCAAATTGGATGCCAAAGACGGGCTGGTGTGAGTATGACGTATGAGCCATCCACCTCATTGGTCTAAGATTTCCCCCACAGATCCCCAGGCCATACCCCTTCGGTGATGGAGCCATAGCACCTACCGATCCAACCGTGCGCTGCGCCAAATAAATTCGGGGATAGTTCCCCGTGGCACTCCGTTCTCCATGTCTCACCTTGAAAAACCCGTGATGATCTTTCGAGTTGAGCAACTGCCCCGTGGGGTGAGCAACTGCCCCACGCCCACTTCAGGCTTGCTTTGGCCACTCGCCGCAGGGTCTCAGGCAAATCGGGGCTGCAAGCCTGGGGTTGCATGCTGAGAAGTCGCCATTGGACTAATGCTAACCCCGGATTAATAAACCTCTGGTTGATTAATAGGGGGGTGTCCCCTTTTAGTGGGGATTCATCACTTTTGGAGGGAACACCCCCTAATAATGGGGACGAGTTTATCAATCCTGGGTCAACACTAGGCTCTCCAGGGGTTTTGTTTTGTTTCTGAACCATGTGGCACTGGGCGTTGGAGCGGGCGATGCATCAACGAATCATCACATTTGAGCCGCGATCTTTTTTCTTTTTTTTTCATGTGGGACGAGCTAAAGGATGACAGAACTGCGATCACTCCCAAAGGCCCCCTAGGGCAAACAATTGGAATGCCAGATCCTTGGCTCCTCTTCAATCACCAGCTAGGTGCTTCGCAACCTTTTTGAAGCGTGCAGCGTCACTGCCCAAGCAACATGCCACGGGCCAAGTTGCTGTTCACCGGTGATGTGGTTGAAGTAGTAGGACTTTCCCAAACCTGTCACAGCTCAGGAATTCGAGGTTCCCAAACGTGAGATGTGAGGCGAGCAGCTTGCTTCCCTCAGGGATATCCTTCAGGAGGCCTCCGAGGGCTTGCGACCGAAGGAATCAAAGGGAGTGTTGGGGGGCGGGCGCGTCCACTTTTCACAGGCGGAGCCATTGCAACCACTTGTGCGAACCTTCTACGCACCACTTGGGATAAACCAGCTGCCAACTGGTGCGAAATGGCTTGCCCCCATCCACAGCAAGGTCGCCAGAACGGACCAGGGGCCACCCTCCCATCGCTTCGCTTGCCTGGGAAGTGCCAGAGCTGGTCGAACCTCAGCCGCGCGTCACGTCAGCCTCCCTCCAAGTCTGGGGTTTGGAGCGGGATGGGGTTCCCCCCCACCCACAAGAACATCTCCAAGCCACATTTGTCAGGGTTACCTGGTCAAAGGTCCTCTGAAAATAAGAACTTGCTTGACGTTGGAAAGGGAGAACAATTAAATCTTAGCAGGTAAGCGGGGATTCCCCACTAAACCACAGTAAGCAAAAGTGTAGAATGTTTCCCAACAACAACCATCCAAGCCCGCCAAAAAAAAAAAAACAACACCTAAAGAGACCTCACGGCCAACTCTTGGGGTTTTCTGACTCAGCGCACAGGCAACATGTAAGTGCCTGCGTCAAGGATCCTCCGGCAGAGCAGCAAACACAAACACCAATGCCCATATTTATCTTGTCTTTTCTATGTATATATATATACATATATGTATATATCTGTGCATGTGTGCGTATGCATAGATGTGTATGTTTCATGTTGTGCGGTGCAGCGTTCATCTCTTTCGGACGGGCAGCGCTTTCAATGCTCATTGTTTTCCTGGCCCCAGCGGCCCCATGGCAGTCAGTGTGCTTCACAGCCCGCGACTTGGGTCCCTTGCGGAGCTACTTGAAGCCTTCACGCAACAAAATGGGCCCATAGCGGGATTTGTATGTTCAGGGTAGTGTCCGTGTATCGTGCGAGTATCACTTGGGTCCGCATTCTAAAGCGACATGCAACTGACTACAGGGCGCAGCTTGCTCACGCATGATCCTTGTTAAACTTGAAACAGGTTGAACATGGAGAAACAACTTCCAAGCTATGGAACCCCAAAAATAATTGCTTCGCGCGATGCGCGGAAAGCCGCCCAACTCAAGACGAGTCTACCAGGTGTGGTTGCCTCTTTGGGGTGGCTGGGCCTGGGGTTCTCCAGCGCCAAATGGGGACGGAGCAGGTGACCAAAATGGGCCAAATGGGCTGGAAAGCACGGCTGCCGCGTGTTGAGGAAGAATTTCGGTCGCTGAACACCAGGAAAACGCACAAGTTTTTGAGTCGGCTGCTTGGTTCGCCAGCAACCCTTGGCAGTGCCCAAAGGGCCCGGAACGAAAAGGTGATCACTTTGGGGGGTCGTGAACAAAATCGAACCCATTTTTGGGAAATCCATTTTAGGTCAGATCCGGTCGATTCGTTCACAACTCTCACGAGTCTTTGCCGAGGTTCTGCTTCACGTGTTCTTGGCTCTGCGGCTCCTGCCAGCCCAACTTCTCCTTGCGAAGTCGACTTCGAACTCGCGGCCTCCGAAAACCCTTGGCCGCGTCGACTGAACCCGATTGCGAAATCTGCTCCCCTGCCAAAAGTCTAACTTTTGGTGGTTTCATTCGGAAAACACACTAGTTGGCAAAAAGTTAAAGTCCTAACATATCCTAACATCCAAGCAAAATGCACCAAAGTGAATCAGCCTACACTCCCTCGGACTAACAGGCGGAAGCTCCCATTGGCCGATCCTGAGTGACCAAGTCTTAGGGGTCCGGTCCCTGGAGCTTCCGGCTAGTCTGGGGGAGGGTAACCACAGAATCAGCTTCCCTCCAATTTTCGGTGTGGAGCTCAGGTTCCCATTTCCCCTCTACAAGAGCCTTGGACGGCCAAGTCACCTTGGATGGACAAACAATTTGGCTCGTCTCCATTCATAGGGCTTCATCCATTCTAACGGACTCCATTGGCCAATCCTATGGGGAACCCCCCGAAATAGAATTCCGCTAAATGGTTGGTTGCCTTGTCTTGGCTGTCCTCAGATCACCTAAAGAACCAGACGGCTCATGCAGACCGGCAACTGGACATTCAACTTATAATAGGAATAGGAAAATCACGCAACCATGCAACTAAACAGACAAAAGCTTCGGCTCTCCTCTTTTGCTTGGCATCGAGAACCGGCAAGTCGTGCTTGCCTTACCAAAGGCAAGCGGCACTTTTGAGCATCCCGAAGCCTTCCGAAGCGCCGCCTTCCGCCCTCCCGTCCTTGAGCTTGTTGCAGTGCGCCTTGCCCCTCACGTGGCTGGCCTTGTCCGTTTTCATCAGAGCCATGTGAGTCATAATCCAAACCCATCGGCAACTTCTCCCTTTTGGTTGGCTTCTCACCCTCTCTGCAAGGTTTTCGCTCAAGCACAGACTCCACCTTTGATAACGCTGACAGGGAGTCCCTACAAGAGGAAAATGATCTTGGAGGCATCCCATAGGTGCTATGTTAGTGGAAGGGAGGGTATACTCGGTGTTTGCCTCTGGGAGTCCCGAGTTTGTGTTTCCTTCCTTGCCTGGTGCATCATTGTGGCTTGCCCACAACTGGTCAACCTCAAGCGCCTGCCTTTTCTACTTGTGTCAACAGGGAGTTTGTAGGGCAAGAAAGGAGGAAAGGCAGTGCGTAGAGCCCCGTGACCCCTAGGGGTCATGACCCTTTGTTTTGGGTAATGACCCCATTTTTAGAGGGTCGGTGTTGTTTTTCTATTATTTTTTTCTAGCCTGTTCAGTGGGGTTCGCGTTCAGGGCAGCCGCTTAAAGTCTGGGTCGACGTTGCTGTCCCTCTGGGGTCGGCCCTGGGTGAACATAGCTGGTGCTGGTTTCATGTTGGTTTTAGCAATTTGCCAGATGGGTTTCAGTTTGAGTTCCATACCATTTGACCTCCACTAGCCTTTTTGGCTTGTGTATGAAACAAGCCACTGTTCGGTGGCCCGAGCCACAATCAAATCCCGGGTAGATGAAGGCTAGTAAGGAATAGTCGCAAGCATAAGCTCAGTTGCCCAAAGCCAACCTTTTGACCTTTTGGTTTTCCTGTTTTAATCCATATTTAGTCATGGCCCACCTTTTAGTCCCAGGTCCTTTGGGCAACTGAGTAAATGGGTGCCTTCGCCTTTTTAATTCTGCACCGGCTTTGGGAAGCCTGGGAGTATGCGATGCCAGGCGAGCTCGGATTGTGTTTCTCTATAAAGCTGGGTGCCTGGCAACGTTCGGCGGATATTCTGCCTGCTTGCCATGCAAGCTCGCGAATCTCTCTCCAAACAGGGATCCTTACAAGAAAACACCTGAAGCTTTTTACCTGCTAAATGGTGGTTTCCAACTTTATTTTGGTGTTGAAAAAGCAACATGTTCAAATGGTTGCAACATGAATTTCTTTTGCGGAGCCCTGCCAAACAAGCCATGAACGCTTTAGCCGTCAGTGCCGGATTCAACTTGCGGATCTTCGGCCCGTGTGGATCCGTGTGGGCTTCACAGCGAATTTTTCCCCCACCCACCCGCTGCCAGCTCGGCAGCTGACAAAATCAGTATAGAAGGTTCAAAGAGACGTTTGGCTATTTCTGCAGTTCGGAGACCACTTAGGGGCCGGAAAAGGGTTGAGGGGGGTTGCTGACAAACAGGTCAATTGCTGACAAGCTTTCATCTGGCAGGCGCTCGAATGGTTGATTTCCCATGTCAACCCTCTTTACAAGCGGGCCTGCTCCCCATGTGCACTGTAACGAGTTCCAGGGTATGCTTGAACTAATCTTCAATCTTCAGAGCCTTGGCAACCCTCTAAAGCCCCAGCCCCAGCTTCCTGAAGGCTATTTCTTGCGCAAACAAAAGTTTCGCAGGACCACATGCGGCTGCCTTCTGAAGTTGGACGCTTCAAGATGCCCTTTGCAGGCACACACACAGCCAGGGTTGCCATGATCGCAAAAAGCGCGGCCAAACCAAGAGGCCTTCCCCCCCCCCGCCGCGCCCGCGAACCACCTTCGTTCCCAGAAAAAGAAACACACACACACACACACACACACACAAAACACATTTGTGTGGTGAGCATCCTGCCCATCCTGCCCTTGCTTTTGCTTTTTGGTTTGTTTGCTCGCTCGTTTGTTAACACCTGTTTGGGAGGCCAAGGTTCAGCAAGCCCCCTCAAACTGTTTCAGTTTCATTGTTGTCCTTCTACAGCATCCCTGTGTTAGAACTTCAATGAAGGGTTGCTACCCTTTCCAACTCTCAGTTGCCCAACGGACCCAAAAAACAAAAGGTTTACCTCTGGGTCCATGACTACAAATAGACAAAGTCTGTGAAACGAAAAGGTTAAAAGGTCGGCTTTGGGTAAGTGAGAACTCGGAACTGTAAGCCCACCATCGCTTCCACGGCTTCGCAAGGAACACCCAGCCTCGCACACAGGGCAGGTGCCCCAGCTGGTCATGGCTTTCCCATACTGCCAAAGCTCCTCCAGTCGACTCAAAAGTCGACCAAGTCTCTCAACAGAGGCAAGTGCTTGCAAAAGCATCATGGGTGCCACAAATCAGATGAAACATGGAGAACAAAAGCTCCTCAGAAACTAGTCGACTCAAACACCGACCAAGCCAAGCTTCTCAAAGGCAAGTGCTCGCACAAGCATCATGGGCTTAGATGAAACAAAGAAACAACGCTTCTGCGATCCTCCCGACCCGATTTTAGGTCTACACTTGGCTGGAATTAGGACCCCTTAGTGGAAAACAAAGGGGACCCCAGAAAAGCAAAAAAGGAAAAGGGGGGAACGAATTCTGGGGAAGTACAAAAGTCAAATTCCTCAAAGGTCGGCTCTTAGGCACCCGCGTTGGCCAACTTGTCACCCAGAGGTTCCATATATGCCCCCCATCGTGAGCAATTCTTGTCCTCGGCGCGCGGGTTGCGCGCGGATTTTGTTTTTTGGTCTTTCTTCCCTTTGCGCGTGGAGAAACCCACTGGGCCCATGAAAGTGAGTCCGGGAATCACTTGTAGCTCGAAAAGGATCTCAATGGTGTAAGCAAATGAGAACCCCTCATGGAACCACCTGATGGGTCCAGAACCAGAACATGCCAACACCCTTACCGGACCAGAACCGGACACCGCACTGGATGCAGCCTGCATACGAGTATTGACATCAACACCCTCATAAAGCTGAGGTCAGCACAGCAAGACTCAAGTGGCTGAAGTCCGGCTTTCCAGCCATCGCTGAAGACGGAGGCTTTCTAAATCCAGCTAACCAGGACCCCTACGCTGCGGCGCTTTGGTGCTTCCGATTTCTAAATGGCGGTTTTGTTTCTGTGTTTGCGTTTGCGCCAAAGCACCCAGCAAAAGGGACACTGGAGCTATGAGAGCCACTGTTCCCACGGCAGGCTTCCTAGCCGTGCAAATGCCACGATCCTCCGGCAAGCACGCACAAAAGGCATCAGCCACAAACTAAATGTGCAAGGCTTCTGCAACTTCTCAGTTCGCAAACCAAACATGATCTACTCCAGGGGTGCTTGTACATACCCCTTGGGCAAACGAACCCAAAAGGCCTGCTGCTATTCCCACCTTTTTCAAAAGGGGTATCTACCCATTATAGCGTGGGTTGGAAGCCAAACATGAACTACGTGAAATGTCTCCTGCACGCAGCCAGCCAAAGGCCGCCGCACCGTAAGTTTAGCATCCGCTTTCCGCACGGAAGCACAAGCAACTCTTGCTCTCGGAGGGCGAGAAGGTTCCATGCTGAACAGACTGACGACCCGGAAAGCGTCCATCCAATGCGCAAGAAAACTGCACGTGACATGGAGCACCATCTTGCCAGCATGCCGCCAGTTGCAGCGCTGCCCTGTCACATCATTTTTCCATGAGCGCGCGCACACACAAGATTTGTTGCCAAACATGGCTGCTAAGCACTCGGGCCTGAGCAACCTGCGGTGACATGCTGGCATGAGCCACGCGCGTCCTGCGACGAAAGATGTACGGAGGAAACAGGTGCCCCGTCTAACTTTGCTTGGGCTAGAGCATGCTAAACAGATCAATGACAACGTCACCAAATGACATCAATATTCGGCGTTCCAAGTTCTTCGCTTGACTGGTAAATAGCAGTTGGTCAGCTCTCACATGAACTGGACAAATAGGTAATTTACAATACATGCCGCTGTAACAATACATGTCAATTTGGCTAGCTTTTCTCAGATGCCCAGTGGCCAAGGGAATAAAAGGGCATCCTTTTTGCTTGAGCTAAAAGTTTAAAAAGGGGAACCCTTCAACAAAAGGAAGGAAGAAGAACAAAAAAGGGCGGAAAAAAAACACTGGGCAACTGGGTTTTCTGCGCCATCCATCTCATCACTCCCAAGCTTTGGGGTGCCCTTCCATGCGCCCGATCCCGGCGGTCCGGCGCACGGCTCAGTAGGGCGAGTACCCCTTGCCTCCTGACGCTCGGGGCTTCGCGAGTCGAAACTTCCAATGCTCCGATCTGTGGCCATGGCCATCTCTAGGGGTTGACTCCTTCTCCATTCTTTTCAACCATCCTTCTTCTCCAAAACCGGATCCGTTTTCCCTGGGTTTCAAAGGAGGTCTTCTCGCAAGATTCGCATCCCTGGAAAGGATGGGAAATGGAAGGTACCCCTAGAACCTCTCGCATTCGCATGTTCGAAGTGCAACCTGAAAAGGCCTCTCAGAGAGGCCAAGGGACTTCCAGCCGTACCTTCCCCGTTCCTGGGATCAAGAAATGGGTGGTGTCTAAAGAGAACCATGGATGAGGAGCACGGGGAATCAACCCCTAGAACCATGGATTTGTTCAGGATGCTAGGTGGAGCCCTGAAAACCCCCAGGTACCAAGGAACCGGTCTTTTGAACAGCACGCGTCTTTTGGAGTGGACAGGGCCATATTGAGCTGGAGCTTGCTTGGTGCAACGCACGTATGGCTCAATGGTCAAATGTGGACATCCTCCCGCTAAACATCACCCAGGCAGCTCATGAATTAGCAAGAGGTGTTGTGCAACCGCGCCAGGGGAAATATAGGGATTGGACAGTTGATAGCGAAAAGTCACCCAAAAGCTTCAACCCTTGAAATGCTGGGACCGCGCAAGTCTTCAAGTGTGACATGAAAACACATATCTTCCAAGTGGTTGAAAGTGTAGTGACCTGTGAAGCTAGTTTTGGATAGCTTGAGAACGCTCACAATCTTCGTTTTGCTGGACCCGCACTAAGCAAAGATTCTTTGCTTCCCCTCCCGCTCCTTTGCAGCCGCCCTTGCCCTTGTAGCCGCATCCGCCGCATCCGCCGCCATACGCGCCGCAGCCGCCGTCGTAGCCGCCATAGGCCCCGTAGGCAGCGCCATAGCCTGCCAGTCGTCCGAGCCCATCGGCATCGAGCCATTGCACGGCACTGGACTCTTCAAGGGGGGCACCTGTCACTCACTTGCCCAAAGGACCCAGAACTAAAAGGTTAACCTTTTGGGGCCATGACTAAAACTAGACCAAAAGGGAAAACCCAAAAGTCAAAAGGTCGGCTTTGGGCAACTGAGGTCACTTTAGTGAGTGAGACGAACTCCGGGCAAGTGGCACTGTGACAGGGCGCTCTCCAAAAAAACGAAATAGGCTGGTCATCGATGCTGCCGGCGTCATGTGTTTCTTCTCTGGAATTGATTTACTGTGCACGTAAGAGTCTCAACTGGCAACAAAAAACAAAAGGAACAACAACAACGAAAATGGCTTCCTGTTGGCTTCCCTTGACGCCAAAAAAACAAACATAGTACTTGCCAACTGCACTTTGCGATGCGGTATGCGCCTGCCATACTGTAGTCGTAGCTCGGCGGCGGCGCTGCATTGTAGCAGCCACCTGAGTCATAATCAAAACCCGGCATTAAAATGGTCGTCATCCCAGAACCATGCTTCAAGAATCAATCACGGCGGCGCGTCAGCGAAGCGAAATTCAGCACCAGCTGGGAAGTTTGGAGAAATGAAAGCCCTTGTGAATTGTCACCTACCGTTGGGACTATGCCTCACCTTCACTAGGTTCTCCAGTAGAGAAGTTAGAATAAGGGTACACTTTTTTCTGTAGGGTGGGGGGACCTAGTTCATCTACCCGGGGGGGTTCGGTGGCTGACCTGTGCTTCCCATAGTCCCATCCCAAATTCGAACCCGCTGACGGAAGGGGTGCGCGCATGAGCGAATCCACGCAGCACCCAGCCATGCCCATTTCTCGATTCAGATGGAACCCCCGCACAAAACAAGTCAAACCAACCTGACTAAGCCAATCCCCCCAAACAAAGTGGACCTGCATCATGAGCTTGTTTCCACAATGGCGAGGTCGCCATCTTAAAAAAAAACAAAAACGGCCATCTTAAAAACACACACACACACAACAACAAAAAAGGAGAGAGAGAGAGAGAGAGAGGGCAAAAACAACAACAACAACAACAACCGCCCGTGCACAAAAAATCAGCCCCAAGGGCCTGGCCTCCGTAGCCTTGCGGCTTGGGCGCGCCGCATTTGAAGCAGGCATCCTCGAGGTGTGCCCGCGCGAATGAGCACTTTTTTTTTGTGGCTTAAGTGTTTTTTACTCAAGTGGCTAAGGTGTTTTAGAAACAACATAATAATCCGCAAGTGGCTTAAGGAAACACAAAACAAGGATCTAACAGATGGGGGTGGGTCAAAATTTAACCACCAGGATACCAGGATATGGACTGCAGGTTCATTCATCTGTTTGGCCCACAGCCAAAGGTTGAATACGTAGTATGCTGAAATACCCATATCATACCGGAGAATTTGCCATGGAGAATGCCAAGATCCAGCCGATTGATGCGCTCCAAAACGTGGCATGTTTGTGCGTACTTCGTAGGTTCCCTGAAAGAAAGCTTGTGTCACGAAAGAAATGATTGGCCAAGCCATCTCCCTTTGCAACCAACATACAAAAGTTCGGCCTTCCGAAAGCCAAAAGCCGGAACATATTTGCTTGAAGATGTGGCCTGGGCACCGAACACGCGTCAAGCACGCAAGTACGGCCAGCATTGGCAAACCAAACCAAGCTGGTCTTTTGCCACTAAGATGGTCCAAACCCCAAAAGCATAAGGTCCAGAACTCAGGGAGTGAGGCTATGACTACAGTTCTACCAAAACAAATGACGTCAACTGCCAAGGGCTTCCACAGGGATCCTTACGTTATACACCTGAACATTGCCTTGTAAATGGTGGTTTCCCTTTATTTTGGTGAAAAAAACATGTTTCAGATGGTTGCAAAATAGTATCTTTTCAGGAGCCGTGGATTCCATGTAGCCACCTGTCGACCACATAACTTGCTATAACCATAGCGTATGGGCGTGGGCAATTTGGAGTTGGCGTTTGCTTCGTGTGTTTGCAAGAGCTGCCCATTTCCCGAACCCTTTCCTCAGTTTGCGTGTTCGTCCCCTGGAAAAATTAGCAAATATGTCCAGTAGTGAAATCGATTCCCTTTGACACCAACAGATTTTTTGTTTTAAAGAAAAACATTTCAGCAAATGGAAGCTTGTTCAACCCCAAAAAACATGGATGACGGATAACTCACACCCCCCGCCTTTGATCCGAAACAGCTGGCGCCGCACGCCTCAGAGCCGGGGGAAAGAGGGGGGGGAGGGGGTCAGAAGCCTTGGATTTTCGTGGAACAGGTGGGGGGGGGGAGGGGGCGGGGGGTCAGGCACAGGTGGCCTTGTTGAAAAATAGATGGGTTTCCCTGGCAAATGGGGTACAAAACCCAGTCTAAACCAGTGGGACCCATCTCTTTTTTAGCAGGCTCACCTAAAAGGACACCTATGGGGTGAGGTTTCATGAAAACAAAAATGCCGCAGGCTGCGTGTTGCAATGCTGGTCAACTGCTCATGTTCGCCCATGTATGAAAACCAAGCGGGCACGGCGGGCCGAGTACCAAAGATTCGGCGAGATGTAGCCTCCTCAAAGCCATGAAGAAAACTGAAAACTGAGTTGTCATTCCAGAGGTGGCAAGGAGCGTCCCGGCACCAACCAATTCCCACCATTCGACATAATGGGAAAAAAAACACAAACAAAAAAAAAAACACAAAACATGAGGCAGGCTTCGTCTTGGGGGCACCTTGCTTGCGAGTGAACCACGGCCCTAAGGCTGTGCCCAAGCCACAGCTCGCTGAAATGACCCCTGTAGAATGGCTCATGTCGACCTACGATTAAAACAGCCTCCCCCGAATAAAGTTATGTCGTCTTTTCTGGGGAGGGAGTTGTTTGGTTGTTTGGGGGGGGGGTAGTGTATCAATAAGAGGTAGACATGAATGTTGGCGCGTTGTTTGGCAAAATTCGGTTTAACTGCGCGGTTGACTTTCCGGCCCGGCGAACAAAAGCCCAAGTCGCTTGGCACATCCAATCACCTGGGCGTACATCTCCACCGCCGCAGCCACCGCAGCCCATGAAACCTAGCGCAAAGCTTGGGCCGAGAGCATCTCTCAACAGAGCTGGTGATCACAGAGGTCTGCATGCTCCAGACTGTACGCCAACTGATGCACGACACTAGTCTTGACTAGGTCCTGCAGTAGAGAGGTTAGAATATGGGTACCCTTTTTTCTGTAGCCTATTTTAGTACGGGAACCCTCCCCCAAAAAAGCGTAAAATGGGGGACCTGGTTGACGCACATCTGAGGACAGAACATAATCCTTGTTGACTCTGATCCTTATCTAGCCTAATTACCCATATAACATATTATTGGAGGAGACCCCAGCATTGGGTAGGGAGGAAAAACAAACTTGTGAGGTGAAGGTACCTGCCATGTCCAGCAACTGAATCACTACAAAACCATGCCGGGACTACCATGTCACCTTTGTGTGTAAGGAAGAAAAAAGAGGCGTCCCACAACCCAGGTGGGATTACTTGGAGCTTTCAGGGAAGGGTTCTCAGAACAATTTGCTCCAGAGCAACAAACAAGCGAACAATGCCTGCCCGGAACCGCTTCACCTGCGAAAGCGCCGAAGGAATGACAAGCAATGAGCTAATGAGCTGCTTGATTGAACATAGAACGGCTGCACCGTTGCACCCTCCGATGGGGTTTGACCTTTTTCTTAGGGACCCCCTAAAATGCTGCAGCCTCCTTGGGGGTTCCCTTGAAACCAACCAAAAGCTCGGGCTCCAACCTCAAAGCCGAGCCACAGCTCGCTTTCGGTGGTTAGGGACGGTTTCCCATCCCTCCGCAGAACCAGGGCTTCGAATCCAAACCACCAATCCAAAAAACCAATCGCCACCAATCCAAACCACCAATTTGGGGTGGGTGGACCAGTCCAACGCCCCAGCCGAAGCAGACCCCTTCCGCCGCGAGCCCCGCGCCCCGCGCCCCGCGCCTCCCTTTCCGCCCTTCGGCCCAGACTTGCTACCTTCGGCCGTGGCCTCGGGCGAGACATCCGTGGAACAAACATTCACGTAGGCAGCACAGAAACCGGCTCCTGAAACCGGTGGAACAAGTAATTCCGGGCGCAACAACCATCTCCGGTTTTTTGTTTTGTTTTTTTACTTTAAAAAAAGAAGAAAAAAAACACAACAAAAAACATTTGTTTTGCAACACCAAAAAAGATGGAACCTCCGGGCTGGCGAGCCTGAAGGCGAGGACATGAACATCCGATTGCAAATGACCGGCTCGTCTTTTGAGCTGGTACCCCCTTTTAGTTGGCCTAGGGAAACCACAAGTTGAAACCACCACTTTGGGAGGGTCCCTTGGCTAAAGACACCCCCAAGTTGGACTGATAGGGAGCAATTCGAACTGGATCCCCACAAGGAGCTTGAGCCTGTGTGCACCATCTGGCATTGAGGAATCTTGAACCCCCTAGTTTCATGAGGCCTGGAGAGAGCCCAAATAAGCCCTGATCAAGGCTTATTTCTTTAAAAGGCTTATTTGGCCCCCCCCTCCCCAGCCAACATGGACACCTCCAAAAACAAAGCATATCTTCCTGGTAGTGGCCGACTGCACAGTTGCTGGTACCATCCACGAGCTATCCTATCCCCCCCCATTCATGACAGACCCTTCTTCTTGAAAGGAACCGCCATCCTGGGCTGCCCTCGAAAGGGGCCGACGGAGGAATGTCCGATGCCTACGAATCACATGCCTCACGTGCCGCGTGATGGCCCGATGCCTTTTCCAACCAGCGATGGTCATTTAAAAGACTCTCCTGACCGTCACAATGCTTTTTAGAAAGCCGGAAGAGCAAAAACCAGGACTCGATTGACCCACAAAGTGGGAGAAAAAAAAACAGCAGCGTGGTCGCTACGGTGCCCGCCCTGAAGGTGTCAAAAAGGAAGACCGCGCGGTTGGGGTGCCATCAAGTTCACCGCTCGCACAGAAGCGCAGTGATGCTGAGTACACCGAACTTGACTCGCACTCCAGTATCAACCCATCTAATTACATCTATGACAAGACCATCCTTCAACAACAAATGCTTGAAGACTGTGCAACTCTGCAAGCGGCTTTGTGGCCAGTTGGTTTCATGCAAACTCCCCGAAATTCAACGGCTGTTGCAAACAATGCACATGAACCCGCAATTCTGCGCCGTGGAAAGGTATGTCCAAGTTCATGTTGACACCTACGCATTGCCTATGGGCCTTCAACCTAGACTAACCTGGAAGCTCCCAAAAGGCCTCCGTGAATGGAACCAAGTCTTCCGAAGAAGTCCTGGGAGCTTCCATGTTAGTTTGGGGAGGGTAGAAGGGAAATGACAAGAACAAATGCGTGCAGTGATTGGAGCATCCTCTAAGCATGCAGCCTTCAGACCTCGAATCACCCGGCTGTGTGCACACAGCAAAATGTGCTTAGGTCTGTTGCTTCAATATCTGATTCAAAATGCCAGTGCAGTCTGGAACAGCTCGGGAGTGATTAACCAACACCAAGCTGGGGAAATGCAAGACAGCATTGAAAGACTTGTTCTGTGTCAAACATTCCCCAGTAAGAGTGGCACTCAGGCATGCGCACTTTTTCGTGTCATGCGGAAAGAGTGTAGTTGCCAAGACCAGCGCTCTGGCATCTGCCCTTCAACAACTTACCCATTCGCTTGGCCACCGTGCCCGCTTGCAGTCCACCCATTTCTCCTGGATCTGGTGATCCTGGAGCGAACTGACTTCCAGCATTCCCTCAAACGAGGCTGCTGTATCATGGTAAGCCAATCGTCACGAAGGGCCAGCAGCCGTGGACACCTCGTGTCATAGTGGCCCTTGCTTCCATCCTCGTGTCTGGACAAATGGAAAAAAGGCGCGTGCAGGGCCAACAAGAAACCTGTGAAACAAATTACTCGTAGCGGAGATACATCCCTTTGTAGCACCCTGCTGGCCTCGCTATGGCCACTGGTGCGGGCAAAGGGGCACACTCTAATTATCTCTCTCTCTCTCTCTCTGTCGCTCTCTCTTTCTCTTTCTCTCCCTCTCCCTCTCCCTCTCGCTCTCTCTCTCTCTCTCTCTCTCCCTCTCTCTCTGTGCACTCACCCTCGCTCTCTCTCCCAAGTGCAAACGGCATTGGCGATGAGACAACAATCTGAAGCCCTTTGCACCTGGGTGAAAGTAGACACAAAGCCGTTCGGTCACCAAAATGAAGTAGATGACACCTTTCCTTGCCCGCAAATATATATATATATACATATATATATGTAGATAGTGTTTTTTTTAGGGTACCCTTTTCGGGGTTGTTTTTTTTAAGAGAAGCCAACAAAAAGGAAGGCCCCCTAAATAAAGACACACCCGTATCGAGCTAAAATGGGGAGCCGTCACGCCTGGTGCATGGCCATGATCTGATCCACTGCCTGCAGCCGACAACCAAGACATGGAACCCCCAAACGCATCCAAAAGCAGCCATGTTCGTCTCGGATCAATACACCCAACATATTAAGACAGGGTCTTCCCCTCCAAAAGTGGTCTGAATCAATCCCAGCTAAAAGGGGACGTGCGGGGTTGATTTATTCATCCGGGATTACTCCCAAAGGAGTTTCCTTCCATCAGGGTTTGGTAGGTTCCCTCTTCGCTGGGAATCTCACAGGCTCGTGTGCGATTCCCACAGCAGGTGCCAGCACAAGCAAAACTGGTTGTCTGGACTGCCCTCATTCCTTTGTTCCATTGGGAACGTGTTTGTTCACGGTCTACTTATATAAACTGGGCCCATGGTTTTGATGCTTGTTGGGGGTTATCAAAGTCAGAACATGGGGTCGTTATCCTTTAACCTAGCACTTGGGGGGGTGACTTGGATCATTCTCAAAATAGTGGGGCCAGCTTAAGGGAAAGTTGCACAGCATTGTCCGCGCCGATTTCGATGTTCACTGCCACTGCATAGGTGGAGGTCCTTCTTCATCCGCGTCCCCATTTCAACCTTCAGCGTCCTAATATATACATAAATATAAATATATATATATATAAAGATTTCGGCCTTAGGATTGCCACCTTCCACTCAAATGCTTCATCCGCTTCATTCACCGATCGACGTAAACGTGGCGCTTTTGGTGCATTTTCGATCGGCGCCTCCTCGGTGTCGAAGGAGACGAAGCCAAAGCCCCGGGAGCGGCCCGTCATCCGATCCGTCATCACCACCTGCAGGGTGTGACCCGTTTCTCCTAGCGCCGGGTGTGACAACTGGAGAAACGGGGGTCGAGTTTGGTCTAAACCCTCTGGACTTCCCCCCCCAAAAAAACTGTTTGGGTTTAGTTTGGTTTAAACATTCTGGATTCCCCCCCCCCAAATGTTGGGTTTGGGTGAAACACCCTGGATTTCAACCCAAAAGATGAAAGGTCTAAAGATCACCCGTTGCCCAATAGCAGTCAAGCCACCACGTCAGTGATGTTACCTGAGACCGGCTCGGAGCGCGTCTCGGGCTGAGCTGCGGTGGATTCCACCGAATTTGGCGTGCGAAAAAAGCGAAGCTTGCGATCTGCGAGAGATGCAAGGAATGAGAAATGGAATGACCCCCGTAAAGCATCCAACTGGTGAGTTCTTTTAAGGAAATCCCCAGGTTCATTCCCGCATTCCCTGCTGAGCACCAGCAAGAAAGGCATTTTTGAGGCCACCGGACATTGATTGCCCGCCCCAAAAGCCGGCAGCGTGCCGCCAAATGGCAAGATGTGGAGAACATAAGAAGCATTACTTCCCTCGGTTGCCAAATCTGCTCCCCTGCTAAAAGCTTGACTTTTAGTGGTTTAATTCGGAAAACCCATGAGTTGGCAAAAAGTTAAAGTCCTAACATCCCTTGGCAAAATGCAACAAAGTTCCGTTCTCATCCAGAAGCCCTCTTCGTAGCCACCAGCCATGCAAAGCTGCAGGCTTTCACTTCACAAGGCTGATGGCGGCTTCCCTCGTTGCAGCCACAGGTGCCGAACTTGCTGAAGTAGTCCGTGAGGATGTCATTGGTGCAGTCCTGCCGTTTTGATGCGACCGAAGGCAACAATAACAAGTTGCTCCTGTAAGCCCGTATTGTTCAACATGCTGCTGAAACAAACATTTAAACTAAGAAAACAGTGGGTTGACCTGTTTTCTTGGTCAAAGTTGCATGATCCAAAACAACACCATATGGGGCCGGTTCCTTGCATCACGGTCGCTCAAGCGTGAAGACCTACCATGATGCAAGCAATGCTTTTGCTCGCCCATTGGCTCAGAAAAGAAGCTGGTGATGAGCATTCGCGCCTGCCGCCCCCGCAGCTTTCAGCTTCAGCTTGTCACATTTATGTTACTTGCCCAAACTGCGGCTCATTGAAGCTTCTCTGGCCTTCTGATTTGGCTGTGGCTCAAAAAACCGGTACCCAAATGGAACCCTGGTAGGTGGACACATGGACCAAAACCTGCGTAACCCCAGCTGTTTAATTTTGAGCCACATCCATTTGGCTCTCTGCTTTGCCAAGCCTTGAAATACCTGCCGGGCCACAAATCTCACTTCTTGGAACTTTTGGAGGTACTGTTGACCCGAAGTAGAACCCGTCCCATTATTAGGGGGGCGGTGAACCCTCCAAAAGTGGTCTGAATCCAACCACTAAAAGGAATTGGACACCCCCCAATCAAAATCAACCAGGGGTTCTGCTTAGATCCGGGGTTAGCGTTATGAGGTACGGACAACTCCAGTTCGGATCCAGGTTGGGTCAAAGACCGGCCCAGTGCTTCTCCCGTCCTGGGGCAAACCGCCGACGAAGACCTTGAAAGGACCACCGCCTGCGGATGGATTGCAAATGCGGGCTGACAAACCCCTCAGGGATCCGAATTACATACAAGCTTTCTTTGGGCGCGGAATGTCACGTCCTCGGCCGTGACTTGTTTCACTCCATGCTTCAACCAAAGCGCAGATAGACCGCGTTGCGAAACCGCCGGGGGTTTCCCATCCTAACATGAGCAGGGCACCTGAACATTGCCTTGCTTGCAAATGGTGGGTTTCCAACTTTATAAATGTTGGTGTTGAAAAAGCAAAATGGTGCTTCAAATGGCTGCAAAATGAATTGCTTTTAAGGAGCCCTGCTCGTGTTAGGATGGGAAAACCCCGGCGGTTTCGCAACGCGGTCTATCTGCGCTTTGGATAGGACGTGACACCGCGCCCAAAGAAAGCTTGGGCGCACAATCCATGAGCCACGGTCAACACTAGCAAGGGATCCCCAAAAGGAAACGATCCAGACTCGCTCGGCTCTTGTTGGAACACATCGAGCTCGTCGCACGCCTTTCCGAAATCAACCATAAACCGCCTGTAATGTTGACGAAGCTCGCCTGAAGAACGCCTCTCCTTCACGTCAGCTAACGGAGCTAAGAAAACCCTGCACATTCCGACCGCTCTCAGGCGCGGGCGATCCATCGCGAGAGCTCTCTCGGAGCTCGCCCAAAAAATGGACGCAAAGCCACCGCGAGCGAGCGCAAACGCGAAACCTGGGGGAGCTGCGTTGCGATGTTTTCCGTTCTTGTGCGCTGATGCGAAGTGCCAATGATATGCGATGCGCCACTTCCCCCCAACTTGAGCCAAGGTATTTCGCCCCAATGGAGAGACGTCAAGTCTGGAAAGGCTGGCGGTGGGGAAGCGACTCACTGTTCGAGATTGGCCAAAGTGGCCCAACCTGTTTATTACCACTCAAATGGTGCAAACCCCAAAAACCAAATGGCTCAAGTCCGAGTTCTGGAACTCACAAAGTGAGAAACCACCCCCAAAAGTAAGTTTGATGCAGCAAAAGCCGCAGGCAGGCCGCCCCATTTTCCCACAGGCTCACCCTCAAAGTCTGCTAGGGGGCCGAATGAAAGTGCAGCCGCCTTGGGCGGCTGCAGAACAAGCGAGTTCGTTGCCACTTGGTGGCGTAAAACGACCTCATCAACACGGCATTTTCAAAATTGTAACCACACTTCCTGAGTGGATTGACAAAAACAACACGTCCATTGCAGACTTGTTGTGCAATTACCACTGAAATACTTTTCGCAAAGAAAGAGGTCAAGGAACTCAGGCAGTGAGTGTCGGAGAATTAACGGCCGGCGCCCGGCGCGCCCAAGAATCACAACAGGAACATCGCCCCAGCTCCCTGAGATCTCCGACCCCCCTTTTCCAGACCTGAACATAAGCTTGCCGGCGCTCAGTAGGGAATTCTTTCAATGACCTTAAGGTTGGATTCCTGGAAAGGAAGCCAGCAGGGCTCCTTTATATAAGCTTCACTCCCTCCTTTTCCCTGCCACAAAGGCACCAGCAAGCGAAACAAAATCCGCCAAATCCGCCCGGACGAGACGCAAAAAGCCAAAAGCTCGCTCGTCGGCTTGTCGCCTCGGCTAGTAGAGGCGAGGGCAGCCCCGGTGCAAGCCCTGGCAGCCCATGGGCACCAGAAAGCTCCGCTTGGCCTGGACCTCCTGCAGGTGCGTGAGCCACACCTGGCTCAGGTGAAAAAAAACAAACACCTGCGGACAAAGGGACATGGACAGCTCCACTTGCGGACAAAAATCTGAACTTTTCCATCAGCCACAAGATTCCCTTTGAAACCAACAGGGGAGAGCTCCCCATGTGCACTGTAACGAGTTCCAGGGTATGCTTGAACTAATCTTCAATCTTCAGAGCCTTGGCAACCCTTTTTCTTTTGCACACAAAAGTTTCGCAGGACCACATGCGGCTGCCTTCTGAAGTTGGACGCTTCAAGATGCCCTTTGCAGGCACACACACACACACACAGCCAGGCTTGCCATGATCGCAAAAAGCGCGGCCAAACCCAGAGGCCTCCCCCCCCCCCGAAATCCGCGCTCCCAAGTATGTGTTAACCAACGAGCGAGCAAACAAACCAAAAAGCAAGAGCAAGGGTGGGCAGGATGCTCACCACCCAAATATGTTTTGTGTGTGTGTGTGTGTTTTTTGTTTGTACCAACCTTTTTCAGGACGTCTATTTTAGTAGGGGAACCCTCCCCCCCAAAAAGGAGTAAAAGGGCACTACTGGGGGACCTAGTATCCATCCGATTGCTCAAGTAAAAAAAGTTGTTTTTCCGGATATCAAAGGAGCCGAAAGGGTTTGAGGTTGAGAAAAACACAACGGGGTCAGCTGGACATGTGCCCAAACCACAAGTTACCATGAATCTGGTGGGTTCCCTTGAAACGATCGCCCATTTTTGGAGGTTCCCTTCAAAGAGGGACAGCTCCATTTGCGGATACGCCCCAGAAACAAAATAATAATACTTCCAGGAGTCACAGGTCCCCTTTGAAACCAACAGGGGAAATGACAAAAAAAAAAACAGCAACTGGACGGTTTTACATGTCAGTGCGACGCACTTGTCTTTACACTAAAAAAGATAAAAACCTAAGGGGATGGCTGGGGACCACCAAGAAAAGTGCCATCATCAAGCGCTAAATGCCAAAGTTCAGCTAATGGAAGACCAGTTGACAAAATGTCCTTAAAGGATACCTGCAATCCAAAAACTATCCACTTTGCAAGTTCCCTAAATCAGCTGGGAAACGGTTTTGCTTGAACTGGCCCAGATTTGAGCCATAATACAAGCCCAGTATTACAAAGGTCGTAATCCCAGAACCATGCCTCAAGAACTCAGAAGGCGGCCGCAGCTATTGATGGTTTCGAGTATCCCTTACTAACATCTACCCGGTCAACCGAACAGTGGCTTTTTTCATACACCATACCGAGAGGAGCCAACCTGCAACCTAGCCATAGCACCTGTGGGATGGTAACCCCGGAAGATGGTTTGCCTCTTGGGGCTACCCCGTGTCAACTGCAATGCTACTAGGAGGGAGGGCATAGACTATGGGGCTATAATAACCTTTCCTTCCCCTTGGCTCTGAATCGGACTTTTGCAAGAAGGCATGGCGGCATGGCACATCAGGGTATTGGTGACATTGGTGACCCTGCTTTTGCGGCTCCCAACCAGTGTTTTGGGGTCATCATCTACTCAAATGGGTGCGGGTCAATATCAAACCACCCGAGGACTCCAAATCTTAGTCCATGTTTGCATGTACCAGGCTTCCATTTTGGGGTTACCCTATTTTTGACCCACAGCCAAATCGACTTTGAGGACATGGCCCAAACGGAGGAGAACGCTTGGCTGCTGTTGACCCCCCTGCAAAAAGTTTAACTTTTTGGGGGGTTTAGTAGATAACACCTTGATTTCCCAAAAAGTTAAAGTCTAAAGATCCAACCCAGTAGCAGTCAAGCCTTTTGACAACCACTTTGGGAGGGTCCCTTGGCTAAAAAAATACATCCCCAAGTTGTCCTGATCCCGAGCAGTTCGAACTGGTCCTTTACAAGGACCGGAGCTTGAGCCTGCTTGGAGGGCACCTGTTTCATGAGGCCTGGAGAGAGCCCAAATAAATATCCCGACCAAGGGCTTATTTCTTTAAAAGGCTTATTTGGCCCCCCCCCTCCCCAGTCAACATGGACACCTCCAAGAACAAAACATAACTTCCCGGTAGTGGCCGACTGCACAGTTGCCGGTACCATCCACGATGAGCTACCCTATCCCCTCCCATTCATGACAGCCCCTTCTTTTTGAAAGGACCCTCCATCCTCCAAAGCTGCCCTCGAAATGGGCCGACGGAGGGAATGTCCGATGCCTACGTCACGTGCCTCACATGCCGCAGGATGGCCGGTGCCTTTTCCAAGAAGCGATGGTCATTTAAAAGACTCTCCTGTCAAAGGGATCCGACATGGGATTATAGTCCCTCAGTCTGAAACCGGGACATGGACAAATCGTTGTGTAACCATCGGCAGGAACACAATGCTTTAGAAAGCCGGAAGTTGCAAACCAGGACTCAACTGACCTACAAAGTGTGAGAAAAACAGCAGCGTGGTCACTGCGGTGCCCGCCCTGAAGGTGTCAAAAAGGAAGACCGCGCGGTTGGGGTGCCATCAAGTTCACCCCTCGCACAGAAGCGCAGTGATGCTGAGTACACCGAACTTAACTCGCACTCCAGTATCAACCCATCTAATTACATCTATGACAAGACCATCCTTCAACAACAAATGCTTGAAGACTGTGCAACTCTGCAAGCGGCTATGTGGCCAGTTGGTTTCATGTAAACTCCCCGAAATTCAACGGCTGTTGCAAACAATGCACATGAACCCGCAATTCTGCGCCGTGGTAAGGTATGTCCAAGTTCATGTTGACACCTACGCCTTGCCTATGGGCCTTCAACCTACGCTCCCTCAGACTAACGTGGAAGCTCCCAAAAGGCCTCCGTGAATGGAACCAAGTCTTCCGAAGAAGTCCTGGGAGCTTCCATGTTAGTTTGGGGAGGGTAGAAGGGAAATGACAAGAACAAATGCGTGCAGTGATTGGAGCATCCTCTAAGCATGCAGCCTTCAGACCTCGAATCACCCGGCTGTGTGCACACAGCAAAAATGTGCTTAGGTCGGTTGCTTCAATATCTGATTCAAAATGCCAGTGCAGTCTGGAACAGCTCGGGAGTGATTAACCAACACCAAGCTGGGGAAATGCAAAACAGCATTGAGAGACTTGTTCCGTGTCGAACATTCCCCAGTAAGAGTGGCACTCAGGCATGCGCACTTTTTCGTGTCATGCGGAAAGAGTGCAGTTGCCAAGACCAGCGCTCTGGCATCTGCCCTTCAACAACAAGCCCATTCGCTTGGCCACCGTGCCCGCTTGCAGTCCACCCATTTCTCCTGGATCTGGTGATCCTGGAGCGAACTGACTTCCAGCATTCCCTCAAACGAGGCTGCTGTATCATGGTGAGCCAATCGTCACGAAGGGCCAGCGGCCGTGGACACCTCGTGTCATGGTGGGCCAACAAGAAACCTATGAAACAAATTACTTACTCGTATGCGGAGATACATCCCTTTGTAGCACCATGCTGGCCTCGCTATGGCCATTGGTGCGGGCAAAGGGCACACTCTAATTCTCTTTCTCTCGCTCTCTCTTTCTCTCCCTCTCTCCCTCTCTCCCGCTCTCTCTCTCCCAAGTGCCATCGGCACTGGCGATGAGACAACAATATGAAGCCCTTTGCACCTGGGTAAAAGTAGGCACAAAGCCGTTCGGTCACCAACATGAAGTAGATGACACCATTCCTTGCCCGCAAATATATATAGTGTTTTTTAGGGTACCCTTTTTGGGGTTGTTTTTTTAAGAGAAGCCAACAAAGGGAAGGCCCCCTAAATAAAGACACACCCGTATCGAGCTAAAATGGGGAGCCGTCACGCCTGGTGCATGGCCATGATCTGATCCACTGCCTGCAGCCGACGAGTCTTTGACATGGAACCCCCAAACGCATCCAAAAGCAGCCATGTTCGTCTCGGATCAATACACCCACCATATGGGTATGGGTCAAAATTAAACCACCAGGGGACCGCAGATTTTAGTCCATGTTTCCATTTACCAGGGTTCCATTTTGGGTACCTATTTTTGACTCACAGCCATATTAAGACAGGGTCTTCCCCCCCAACAGTTTTCTGAATCAATCCCAGCTAAAAGGGGACATGCGGGACTTCCAAAGGAGTTGCCTTCCATCAGGGTTTTGTAGGTTTCATTTTCACTGATAATCTCACAGGCTCGTGTGCGCGACACAGCAGGTGCCAGCACAAGCAAAACTGGTTGTCTGGACTGCCCTCATTCCTTTGTTCCATTGGGAACGTGTTTTTTCACGGCTTATTTATATAAACTGGGCTCATGGTTGGGGGTTATCAAAGTCAGAACATGGGGTCGTTGTCCTTTAACCTACCACTTGGGGGGTGACTTGGATCATTCTCAAAATAGTGGGGCCAGCTAAAGGGAAAGTTGCATAGCATTGTCCGCGCCGATTTCGATGTTCACTGCATGGGTGGAGGTCCTTCTTCATCCGCGTCCCCATTTCAACCTTAAGCGTCCTACGGAATATATATATATATATATAATATAATTAATTTATATATATATATATAATAAATAAAAATAAAATGATCGATTTCGGCCTTAGGATTGCCACCTTCCACTCAAATGCTTCATCCGCTTCACTCACCGATCGACGCGGCGTGGCGCTTTTGGGGCGTCTTCGGCCGGCGCCTCCTCGGTGCCGAAGGAGACGAAGCCAAAGCCCCGGGAGCGGCCGGTCATCCGATCCGTCATCACCACCTGGGTGTGACCCGTTTCTCCTAGCGCCGGGTGTGACAACTGGAGAAAGGGGGTCGAGTTTGGTGTAAACCCTCTGGACTTCCCCCCCCCAAAAAAAATACTTGTTGGGTTTAGTTTGGTTTAAACACCCTGGATTCCCCCCCCGCCAAATGTTGGGTTTGGGTGAAACACCCTGGATTTCAACCGAAAAGATGAAAGGTCTAAAGATCACCCGTTGCCCAATAGCAGTCAAGCCACCACGTCAGTGATGTTACCTGAGACCGGCTCGGAGCGCGTCTCGATTGATTCCACCGAATTTGGCGTGCAAAAAAGGCGAAGCTTGCGAGAGATGCAAGGAATGAGAAATGGAATGACCCCCATAAACCATCCAACTGGTGAGTTCTTTTAAGGAAATCCCCAGGTTCATTCCCTCATTCTCTGCTGAGCACCGGCAAGAAAGGCATTTTGAGGCCACCGGACATTGTTTTAAGCCCGCCCCAAAAGCCGGCAGAGTGCCGCCCAATGGCAAGATGTGGAGAACATAAGAAGCATGACTTCCCTCGGTTGCCAAATCCGATCCCCTGCTAAAAGCTTAACTTTTAGTGGTTTAATTCGGAAAACCCATGAGTTGGCAAAAAGTTAAAGTCCTAACATCTCTTGGCAAAATGCAACAAAGCTCCGTTCTCATCCAGAAGCCCTCGTAGCCAGCAGCCATGCAAAGCTGCAGGCTTTCACTTCACAAGGCTGATGCCGGCTTCCCTCGTTGCAGCCACAGGTGCCGAACTTGCTGAAGTAGTCCGTGAGGATGTCATTGGTGCAGTCCTGCCGTTTTGATGCGACCGCAAGGTAACAATAACAAGTTGCTCCTGTAAGCCCGTATTGTTCAACATGCTGCTGAAACAAACATTCAAACTAAGAAAACAGTGGGTTGACCTGTTTTCTTGGTCAAAGTTGTGCGATCCAAAACAACACCATATGAGGCCGGTTCCTTGCATCACGGTCGCTCAAGCGTGAAGACCTCCCATGATGCAAGCAATGCTTTTGCTCGCCCATTGGCTTCAGAAAAGAAGCTAGTGATGAGCATTCGCGCCTGCCGCCCCCGCAGCTTTCAGCTTCAGCTTGTCACATGCATGTTGCTTGCCCAAACTGCGGCTCATTGAAGCTTCTCTGGCCTTCTGATTTGGCTGTGGCTCAAAAAACCGGTACCCAAATGCAACCCTGGTTGGTGGACACATGGACGAAAACCTGCGTAACCCCAGCTGTTTAATTTTGAGCCACATCCATTTGGCTCTCTGCTTTGCCAAGCCTTGAAATACCTGCCGGGCCACAAATCTCACTTCTTGGAACTTTTGGAGGTACTGTTGACCCAGGATCGAAGTAGAACCCGTCCCATTATTAGGGGGGTGGGGACCCCTCCAAAAGTGGTAATCAACCAGGGGTTTATTAATCCGGGGTTAGCATTATGAGGTACGGACAAATCCAGTTAGGATCCAGGTTGGGTCAAAGACCGGCAGGCAGTGCTTCACCCGTCCTGGGGCAAACCGCCGACGAAGACCTTGAAAGGACCACCGCCTGCTAGGACGTGACACCGCGCCCAAAGAAAGCTTGGGCGCCCCGAAAATCCATGAGCCACGGTCAAAACTAGCAAGGGATCCCCAAAAGGAAACGATCCAGACTCGCCTGGCTCTTGTTGGAACAAATCGAGCTCGTCGCACGCCTTTCCGAAATCAACCATAAACCGCCTGTAATGTTGACGAAGCTCGCCTGAAGAACGCCTCTCCTTCACGTCAGCTAACGGAGCTAAGAACCCTGCTCATTCCGACCGCTCTCAGGCGCGGGCGATCCATCGCGAGAGCTCTCTCGGAGCTCGCCCAAAAATGGACGCAAAGCCACCGCGAGCGAGCGCAAACGCGAAACCTGGGGGAGCTGCGTTGCGATGTTTTCCGGGTTTGTGCGCTGATGCGAAGTGCCAATGATATGCGATGCGCCACTTCCCCCCAACTTGAGCCAAGGTATTTCGCCCCAATGGGGAGACGTCAAGTCTGGAAAGGCTGGCGGTGGGGAAGCGACTCACTGTTCGAGATTGGCCAAAGTGGCCCAACCTGTTTATTACCACTCAAATGGTGCAAACCCCAAAAACCAAATGGCTCAAGTCCGAGTTCTGGAACTCACAAAGTGAGAAACCACCCCCAAAAGTAAGTTTGATGCAGCAAAAGCCGCAGGCAGGTCGCCCCATTTTCCCACAGGCTCACCCTCAAAGTCTGCTAGAGGGCCGAATGAAAGTGCAGCCGCCTTGGGCGGCTGCAGAACAAGCGAGTTCGTTGCCACTTGGTGGCGTAAAACGACCTCATCAACACGGCATTTTCAAAATTGTAACCACACTTCCTGAGTGGATTGACAAAAACAACACGTCCATTGCAGACTTGTTGTGCAATTACCACTGAAATACTTTTCGCAAAGAAAGAGGTCAAGGAACTCAGGCAGTGAGTGTCGGAGAATTAACGGCCGGCGCGCCCAAGAATCACAACAGGAACATCGCCCCAGCTCCCTGAGATCTCCGACCCCCCTTTTCCAGACCTGAACATAAGCTTGCCGGCGCTCAGTGGGGAATTCTTTCAATGACCTTAAGGTTGGATTCCTGGAAAGGAAGCCAGCAGGGCTCCTTTATATAAGCTTCACTCCCTCCTTTTCCCTGCCACAAAGGCACCAGCAAGCGAAACAAAATCCGCCAAATCCGCCCGGACGAGACGCAAAAAGCCAAAAGCTCGCTCGTCGGCTTGTCGCCTCGGCTAGTAGAGGCGAGGGCAGCCCCGGTGCAAGCCCTGGCAGCCCATGGGCACCAGAAAGCTCCGCTTGGCCTGGACCTCCTGCAGGTGCGTGAGCCACACCTGGCTCAGGTGAAAAAAAACAAACACCTGCGGACAAAGGGACATGGACAGCTCCACTTGCGGACAAAAATCTGAACTTTTCCATCAGCCACAAGATTCCCTTTGAAACCAACAGGGGAGAGCTCCCCATGTGCGCTGTAACGAGTTCCAGGGTATGCTTGAACTAATCTTCAATCTTCAGAGCCTTGGCAACCCTCGAAAGCCCCAGCCCCAGCTTCCTGAAGGCTATTTCTTTCGCACACAAAAGTTTCGCAGGACCACATGCGGCTGCCTTCTGAAGTTGGACGCTTCAAGATGCCCTGTGCAGGCACACACACACACACAGCCAGGCTTGCCATGATCGCAAAAAGCGCGGCCAAACCCAGAGGCCTCCCCCCCCCCCCCGAAATCCGCGCTCCCAAGTATGTGTTAACCAACGAGCGAGCAAACAAACCAAAAAGCAAGAGCAAGGGTGGGCAGGATGCTCACCACCCAAATATGTTTTGTGTGTATGTGTTTTTTCTTCGTACCAACCTTTTTCAGGACGTCTATTTTAGTAGGGGAACCCTCCCCCCCAAAAAGGAGTAAAAGGGCACTACTGGGGGACCTAGTATCCATCCGATTGCTCAAGCAAAAAAAGTTGTTTTTCCGGATATCAAAGGAGCCGAAAGGGTTTGAGGTTGAGAAAAACACAACGGGGTCAGCTGGACATGTGCCCAAACCACAAGTTACCATGAATCTGGTGGGTTCCCTTGAAACGATCGCCCATTTTTGGAGGTTCCCTTCAAAGAGGGACAGCTCCATTTGCGGATACGCCCCAGAAACAAAATAATAATACTTCCAGGAGTCACAGGTCCCCTTTGAAACCAACAGGGGAAATGACAAAAAAAAACAGCAACTGGACGGTTTTACATGTCAGTGCGACGCACTTGTCTTTACACTAAAAAAGATAAAAACCTAAGGGGATGGCTGGGGACCACCAAGAAAAGTGTTATCATCAAGCGCTAAATGCCAAAGTTCAGCTAATGGAAGACCAGTTGACAAAATGTCCTTAAAGGATACCTGCAATCCAAAAACTATCCACTTTGCAAGTTCCCTAAATCAGCTGGGAAACGGTTTTGCTTGAACTGGCCCAGATTTGAGCCATGATACAAGCCCAGTATTACAAAGGTCGTAATCCCAGAACCATGCCTCAAGAACTCAGAAGGCGGCCGCAGCTATTGATGGTTTCGAGTATCCCTTACTAACATCTACCCGGTCAACCGAACAGTGGCTTTTTTCATACACCATACCGAGAGGAGCCAACCTGCAACCTAGCCATAGCACCTGTGGGATGGGAACCCCGGAAGATGGTTTGCCTCTTGGGGCTACCCCATGTCAACTGCAATGCTACTAGGAGGGAGGGCATAGACTATGGGGCTATAATAACCTTTCCTTCCCCTTGGCTCTGAGTCGGACCTTTGCAAGAAGGCATGGCGGCATGGCACATCAGGGTATTGGTGACATTGGTGACCCTGCTTTTGCGGCTCCCAACCAGTGTTTTGGGGTCATCATCTACCCAAATGGGTGCGGGTCAATATCAAACCACCCGAGGACTCCAAATCTTAGTCCATGTTTGCATGTACCAGGCTTCCATTTTGGGGTTACCCTATTTTTGACCCACAGCCAAATCGACTTTGAGGACATGGCCCAAACGGAGGAGAACGCTTGGCTGCTGTTGACCCCCCTGCAAAAAGTTTAACTTTTTGGGGGGTTTAGTAGATAACACCTTGATTTCCCAAAAAGTTAAAGTCTAAAGATCCAACCCAGTAGCAGTCAAGCCTTTTGACAACCACAGCCAAATCGATTTTGATTTCAGCGACGGTCCCAGAGGCCAAGGCACGGGCCGCAGCTTGGCCTTGGAGGCGGCCGGGCGCGGGTCGAAGTCGCTCAAGGCGCGGCTGCCCAAGGCCTTGACGAAGAGGTCCGGGTCGCGGTACCTGGGGACTAAGCGTTCAATCCACGGATGATCCAAAAATCCGGTGGACCTCAAATCCATTTCTAGGTTGAAAAGCAAAATCCCGAAAACCACCAAAACCTTTCTTCATCCATTTCTGTGGGTTGAAAGGTGAACTCCTAGGATTTAGATCCAAAAATCAGGTGGAACTCAAATCTATTTTAGGGGTTCAGCCGGATTTAGATCCAAACTCGGGTGCTGTATATCCCCCACAAAACTTTGTGAAACTTTTTGTTGGTTGCTCATTTCAGTGGGTTGAAAAGGTGAACTCCTAGGATTTAGATCCAAAAATCAGGCTGAACGCAAATCCATTTCAGTGGGTTTAAGAGTAAAACAAACGACTTGATTCAACCATTTTAGTGGGTAAGTCGAAACCTAAGATTGGTTCATCCATTTTAGTGGCTTGAACGGTGATATCTCAAATTGACCTTGCTCAACTCACTTGCCCTGTTCGGACCCAGAAATCAATTGTGGACCTTTTGGGGCCATGACGAATGAACCCAAATTGAAAAACCTCAAGGTAAAAAGGTCGATTCGCTTTGGGCAACTGAGTCAATGTTCAACCCGCCTTGGAATTAGTAGGCTTGAAAAGTAAAATGAGGCTACCAATGATTGAAACCTGATCACTTTCGTGGCCAAAGATGTTGCCATATCAACCCAGGCGCCCCGCCACCTTCTCGCGGTTGATGCGGACCCCCGACTTCTCTAAGCGCAAGGCCTCGAGGCATCGCGTGGTTTGAACCAAGGCTGTGGGAAATGGAATCCACTTCTGTGATACCACAAAAAATATCCCAAAGACTACCCCCCCATGATTTTCAAGGGGAGATTCCCACAAGTATCACAGAAGTGGTTGGATACACCCCGAGTGATCAACCACAACCCTGGTTCGAAGCGAAAGGAAGTGAAAGCAAACCTCTTGAAACTGGCGGGAATTCCTTGCCGCAAGCGGCTCGCAGCCCTTCGATAGATCCGGGCTACGCTCAAGAATCCGAAGATCGGATTGAGAGACGCACCCCCTTGGCCATGGGCCATAGCCTATTCCTCCATTTCAAAGCGGATGAACACCCATGTGCCACCTATTTTGATACAGGCTTTTGACCCACGGCCACTTACTCAGCCCTACCCCTCTCAATCTCACCAGTGCTCACTCCCCCGAAACCTGGACCGAACCAGTGACTCAGCTTGGTTGACGTTGGAAGGGGAGCAAAAAACATTTTTTAGCAGTTACGTGGTTGGATTCCAACCACTAAACCACAATAAGCAAAAATGCCCAACAACAACCATGTCAGTGGGTCCCTACGGAAGGGGCCCAAGGTTGAAGGATGGCCAAGGTCTTCCCACTGGTCTCAAAGGCCCGAAGGGGGACCCGAGAGAGAAATTGGGGGATTCGACAGGCCATAGAGGATGAATCTTGGGTGCTGTAGATCCCCCCCTGCCAAAAAAGCAAAAACAACTTTGTGCTGGTTAAAAGGAAGATATGAGGGGAATCCAAAAAGTGAAAGTATAAAGATCCAACCCAATAGCAGCAGAGGAATGGTGCTCCATGTGTTCATTCTGTGGATGGACGAAATCCGTTTGCACCGCCTGAGAAACCCTGGAATGATGACCCCCCCCCCTCGTACATAATGACCAATCAACAATGGTTTTAACCGTGGCTTCAAAACGGTGCGAACGGATTTCGAAACCATGTGCAGTATTTATTTAGTTCAAGCTGTGAGCAACAAGATGCTCCGGCCAACGCCTGCCAGGACAAAGGGTATGGCATCTTTGACATCCCTTGCAGGGACAAGTGCTTCCATGCTGTTGATTGCTGGTTGATTGGCTGTGGCCGCTTGGGTGTGTTCTTTGTACGAGCAAGCACGAGCCTGCGGCCTACAACCTGCCTACATTCATGGAAACGGGATCTTAGATTAAAGCACGTGCGAATGTTTCTAATTGCCTTGAATCCCTCAAAACAATGGCGTACATCTACATGGCAAATCCCAAATGTTCGATAGTGACGGTGTCGTAGAAGAAACTTGCCATATAGTGTGTGTCCATTCGGACCATTTCTGGTCGAATGGGGGGAAGTCGGGAGAGCAAAGAGTGAAACAGGCTGTAGGAAACAACCTTGCACAGAGCATTGTTTCCTCAACACGGCATTTTCAATTGCCCTAGGGGCAAAGCAAAAGAGATGGGTATGTGTCAACATAGGGGCTCCCCAAAACTGCCTTTGGGCTCCCCGTTAAACAAAGCCAGCAGTGGGTACCCTCAAAAACACGCACACACAAACAAGCAAACAAACAAACGAGCCAGCAAGCAAGCAACCAACATACTGGCACCTTGGCCAAATTGCCTGACTGGGGCCGACTTACTCTCACCTCCTGAGTGGCTTGCCAAAAGTCTAAATTCGATTGCTTTCTGCTCCCCTGCTAAAAGTCTAACTTTTAGTGGTTTAATTCGGAAAACGCACTAGTTGGCAAAAGTCAAAGTCCGAACATCCAAGCAAAATGCGCCAAAGTAAGCTCTTTGTGTGCCACTAAACTGTGCCAACAAAGCAATCAATGTCCAGGACCTCGGCGCCGGATTTATTTTTTCTTTGGGGCGAGGGGTGAGGGCGCAAAAAATGCACCAGGCGTGGGTGAGATTACTCTAGGGGTAACGTCCATTTCCATTCTTTCCAGGGATCCTTCTTTCTAGAAAACCGCCAAAGAAATGGCTGGTTGTTTGAAAAGAACGATGGCTGAAAATTAACCAACCCCTGTTTATGAATATGGGGGTGTCCGATTCTGGTTTTGGTGGGGATTTATCAATTTTGCAGGGCCCCCCACCCCCATATTAAGGGGTTAAGCATTACGCCTTCCAGGGATCCTTCTTTCTACAAAACCACCAAAAACCCTGGGGAAATGACGATCGGCTTTTGCAAAGAACGATGGCTGAAAAGAATGGGGGATCAACCCCTAGAACAAGTAAGTATTTCTCCAAAGGTACCTTTTCGGGTGGCTGCCTTTTTGGCTTCCCTTGCAACCCATCCAAAACGGGTTTCCCTATTTTGAGGCACGATGTCTGCAAGGAACGATGTCTGAAGAGAAAAGGAATCAACCCCTGGAATTGCGCCCTTTTTCTCCCAGCTGCGAAGCTGGAGTTCGGCTTGCCGGGGCCAAAGTGGGACATCTCGGTGAGCAAAATGCGGACGCTGTTCCCCAGCTCGCTGATGTCCTGCGCGTGTCAGGTGTCCTTTTTGAGGGGAAATAGATGGGTTCCCCTGGTAGATGATGAAACCACCAGGTAAACCAGGAATCGCCATCTATTTTTCTACCAAAACCAAAAAGGACACCTATGGCGCTGAGTGTCAGGTGTCAAAACCAAGCGAGCATACGGTATGTTGACCCCAGATTCATGAACCCCAGTTGTCCAATACAGGGTGTCCCTGGGTTGAGTGGGGAATCATCACTTTTGGGGTCCCCACCGACCTAATCATAACTGTGCCAGGGATGGAGGAAAGCGACATTCGCCAAGTGTTTCGCCTTCAGATGCTGCGATGTGTGCACAAAAAAAAACGCTTCCATCCAGGGGGTGATTCCCCATTCTTTTCAACCATCGTTCTTTCCAAACACCGGCCGTTTTCCCTGGGTTTCCGGAGGGTTTCTAGAAAGATCCGGATCCCTGGAAAGAATGGGGAAGGCACCCCTAGATTACAGTAAACTTTGCATACGCGCCCAGGAGAGAACGAAGAATCGGGCACCAACAAGTCTGACTGTTTCGGGGGCAACTTGCAATATACGGGGTCGAACATGATCTTATCCAGACTTCATTTGGGTCATACCCAGCGCAGTCTGGAGATTCCAGCCCTCGTACTCCAGTGGCTGCCTGGCTAGGGGTCACCTGCGAGGGCAGTGCTACGACGTTTATATTCTCAACCCCGGATTGGTAAACCCCATCCTACTGTGGATGGACGAAATCCATTTCGTACCAGTTGGTAGGTGGTTTAGCGCATTATTTCCAGGGCTTCGACTAAGTGGTGCAGGAATTTGTCCATCCACAGTAGTGACTGGACGAAACCCATTTCGCACCACCTGAGACTCCCTGAAAATATTCGATTCCAGGTACCTGCAAATGCCAACCAACAATGGCTTCAACCATGGTTTCTAAGTGGTGCAGGATTTCGTTCATCCCCCGGGCCATAAGGGGGAGGGGGGGGTGAGGGGTCCCCAATTCCAGTCATCTAGTCTTCCCCACAAAAGGGAAATGTTGGACCCAGGGGGCTAAGTAACCCATAGGGCTTCATAGCAGGGGTTCATAAAAAAAGGATATGTACATACATGTACATTCAGCCTTTCTCCATCTTTGGTGTTCGCCTTTGAAGGGCCCTGACTTTTCTGGCGCAGCTCTCGCTCGCTGATTCCGGCCACAACGGTCCGAGAGATTGATGCAAAGGGAGAAGTCCATCTCCAGTTGCTGCAGCTCCGGCATGAAGCGCATGCACTTCCTCATCCGGGTAGACCCCAGTCAAGGGGGAAACTCTCTGCAAATTGACCATAAGGAACCAATTAGGGGGGAGGGCGGGGTTAGGAAATACCTCCAAAATAATGCTTTTGAGTTCCGTGCTGACCTGCAAATTAATGAACAGGGAAGCTGGATGAAGATAGGTGATAAATTGGGGCAGGGGTCCCTAGATTTCTCTGGGGGGGGGGTCCAATAAAAGCCCGTCTTTGAGGTCCAAACCATTTCTCGAAAAAAGGATTGAAAAAGAAGCCATCCCTGCTTGGCTCTTTGGGGACAGCCTACAGGAATTGACCATTCAGCACCTAGAGAGCATCCGGGTTGTTCAACGTAGGGTCCCGGATCCCTAATCCATAATTCGCAGTGGGACGCCACAAAGCAAACCACCAGCTGGCATAAGGCTTCTGTCATAAGCTATCAGACACGAGGGTTGAAGTCGGAAAAGCAAGGCATGTGCTAACTTCAAATGACCACTACCCCAGGCTGTACCAAAAAATAAACAGCCACTACATGGGCACGTGTCAAATTGGTGGACCTCCAAAATGGGCTCCTGTTGGGGCTTCCTGTTGGTTTCCCTTAGAAATGATCAACCAAAAATGTAGCCTCACTCTTTGGCTCCAGGGCCCTCCGGGTCAAGCTGCACACACACACACACAGCCACCCTTTGGCACTCATCCCAAAATCCTCGGAAGATTGGCGGCAAGAATGGCGGCTGTCGATGACCGGGCCTGGTTTGCCACTGTTTCTATGTTTGCTCAGCTACCCTCCCCACAAAGGTACAGGAGTCCAAGGGGAAGTTCCCATAGGTGTCTTTTTGGAACAATAGATGGCCGGGTAAATGGAACAAAACCCACCTAAACCAGTGGAACCCATCTATTTTTAACCAGGCTCACCCAAAAAGGACACCTATGTAAGTTCATCTTGGGATATGGGGGACCGGTCCCCATGTCCCGCTAGCCAGGCGGCCCCAGCTCCCACAGGTAGAAGATCTGCTTGATGCCCGACAGATCCACCGAGAGCCTTTGTAGCTTGAACAACATCTGCATCCCGCGGCCCAGCTCGCGCACGTCGCGGTCCGAAAGCCTGAAATGGACAAAACGGCGAAAAGGACGTGGAACTCCCCAGGTGAACAAGCCAGCATTAGATCAGCTTCCCTCTGAGTGGTGGCTTGCACTGGTGGTTTGTTGGCTAAGGAGGGGGTTCCCATTTACCCTCTACAAGCACCAGGGGTTCAAATCCAAAACCACCCATCCCAATCGCCAATTCAGGGTAACAAGCCAGCATTAGGGGAATCTTCTTTGGATGGCTTTCGATTGAGGGGAAGCCAGGAATCAAACTTGTGGGTTGCCCAAGCTTACGCTTGTGGTCAAATGGACGCACGGGTCATTTCTGCACCACTGGCGAAAAACATGCCAGTAGTATTCTGACAGGTTGCGTTATCCAGGGTCAACAGTACAAGCCGCAAGCCCCAAAGCAGGAATTCCCAAAGACCTCTCGCGCCTGCTCCTGTTGGCGACATGCGAAACGCGCCAGCCCCAAGTGCAAGACTCCGGCAGACCCATGGGCCTACAACGAAACCCAAACAACACTGGCAGGATTTCAACTGCCAAAAGCAGGCTGCTCACATACTGTGGCAGGGAATGCTTCACTGAAGCACGGCTGACATGCTTCCTAACAGCAGAACTGTGCTGGAGCCTTGCGGAGTGCCTATGGGGTCACGGTTGAGCGTGGCAGCAGGGTGATTGCCGCTGTGCCAGCTTTATAAACAAAAACTTATGTGTTCAGGTTCAAATCAATTGCATCTTGCAAAACTGGTTTGCAAGAATGCTGTCTGCGTTTGGCTGTGAGCGTTGAATGAATCAGATGGTCAAATAGAGGCCGATTTTAATGTTATTCGACGATGCCGCATGCCACCCCAAAAGCGGTGCTAAGGGAGGTGCCATGAACAAAAACGCGCTTGCAGCAAAGTTCTAGGGGTTGATTCCCCGTTCCTTTCAACCATCGTCCGTTCTTTTCGGACACCGGCTGTTTAGTTTCCCCTGGGTTTCTGGATGGCTTCCTGAGAAGATTCGGAGCCCTGGGACTCAGTTGCCCAGTTCGGACCTGGGACTAAAAGGTGATCACCTCTTGGGGCCATGACTGAATATGGAACAAAACAGGAAACCCAAAAGGTCAAAAGGTTGATTCGCGTTGGGCAACTGCGGGAATCGGAGTGTCCCCTAGAAAAGTACCCGCCAGCCAGCTTCCACAGGTCTTCACGAGCGCCCCAGCGCCCCGCCCGGCGCTCAAACACAAAACCGTGCGTTTTGCGGCGCCAGGCCGGCCGCTTTGCGGCATCGAAGCGGCAAGGTGTGGCACAGGAAAACCGGAACAAAATTCTAGGGGTAACTTCCATTTCCATTCTTAGGGATCCTTCTTTCTAGAAAACATCCAGAATTCCAGGGAAAACGGTTGGTTTTTGAAAATAATTGTGAATCAAGCCCTAGAACAATCAGATGTGATCTGCCGCTCTTTCCCGAAACAGAGGTGACCAGAATACACAACAACCGGCAACGGACCTCTTGGTTGGTAAGGGCACAGCAATCTTGTTTGTTTCTCCCTTCCCGCCATCCCACCCAAGGACCATCCTCCAAGCTGGACTTTGGCTTCGATCGGGCGAATATCCCTTCCACGCGTTCAAGCGATCGGCACTGTCCCAAAAAATTCACAAAGTGAGAACGGAGCCCCCAAGCGAAGCTGCGTAAGAATCCTTCAACCAATAAGTGGGACCCAGGGCCACCCGGTTGAACATGTTTAAACGAGTAGGGTTCAAACCGCCTCCGTTCGGTCACTTAAAAAGGTAGCCAGGGTCTAAAAGTCCGACACCAGATTTGCCCATTCAAAAGTGGATTAAGTAACTTGGTCCTTTAAAGGGAAACGGCTTGGCAACCCATACAAAGGGGCTTCGCTGGGAAAGGAATGGCCTAAGCTTGTTGCAAGTTAGTGTTGACTCCGGATCTAAGCAGAACCCGTCCTATTCATAGGGCGGGGCGTGTTCCCCTCCAAAGGTGGTGTGATTCCCTACAGTTCACAAAAAAGACCAAGAGCCTTCGAACGCGGTTTCCATTGAACTGCCACTTTTGGAGGTGCCAAAAAAGGGAAATGGCTCGGAAGCCCTGGTGGCTTTGATCAAGAAACAAAAAAACAAAAAAACACTCCTAGCGCATCGAAGGCACTGACAGCCGCCGAGATGACAATCCAAAGATCTCAGCTGCGAGAGCTGCCCCAAAGACTTCCCGAGCTCCCCCACGCTCTGCAGCTTGTCACCTCACGGAAGCGCAGAACCTGCAAGTTGCCATGGCTGGCCTTGAAATTTGCACGAAAAAAACCTCCGAAAAGGGATGTGCCGGCTTGCCTTGACCGTCCTTCTTAGTCCAAGCCCCAAAAAAAAACATAGGAAAACCTTGACAATTGGAAGTGCACCAAAGCGCATGCACGTAGAGAGTTAGAATAAGGGCACCCTTTTTCTGTAGTCTGTTTTAGTAGGGGAACCCTCCCTGAAAAAAAAAACTGTAAAAGGGCACTACTCGGGGACCTGTTTGGTATCCCTAGAAAAATCAGCACAAGGCAGCACCCAGGTCCAAAACGGGGTATATCATGTCTTGTTGGACACCCGTCGTCTACATGTTCACAAACTTGGCTGTGGGCATGCCAGTAAATATACGCAACATACGCAAATGGGTGTCATTTCTACATATAGATGATATTCCCTATTATATATATATATATTCTCATACATATATATATATATGTATCTCTGTCACTCGCTCTCCCTCTCTCTCCACACATTTGAGGGTCCCCTTTTTGGGTTGGCTTCCCTTTCGACGCCATTTGTGGTGGCTCCCCTATTTGACAATCCGAAATGGAGACCGCGCAGGTCAACTGGGGGCCTCTGGCAATGCCTCGCTTGTGCCAGAAGAGGATGACCGTTCCGGCGGTTGGGAATCAAGCGTTTGAGAATTCCGCATAAAGGAAACCATAGGAGGGAAGGTTTTCTCCCAGTTGAGTCATGCCATTTCTCGTTCCCTGCCAGGAACCGGCAAGATGCACCATCCAGAATTTATCCTGTGGAAAGCTAACAAGAATCCCCCACAACATATCGCTGTCAACAGCCAAACCAAGTTTCAGTTCAGCATTCTAGCTAAGTTCAGCATTCTAGCTACTGCATGCGGCTTCGCTGTGCATTGCCACAACCCTTCCAGAGAAAAAAATGTTCACCCCGTCGGCAAGAATCCACCATTTCCCAAAACCGTCTCGATACAAAACAAGTCTTAGTCGTGGTCCTTCTGACCTCCAGGTTGGTGAGCAGAGTATCTATGCCACAAACTTGTGGACTGGGGGGCGCCCGAATGAAGGGAACCTCTCCTACCTGTTTCCTGATGCTTCGGGGCTACCTCTTCTTCAGGGGAGAAGCTAGCGCATTTATCAAGTATGTAATTTGTTCCTGTGGGAGTTGAATGCTAGATGTCCTTCCTGTTGCATGAACACCCCAAACTTGAACCAGAAGACCAGTGGCAATACAGCCAAACGGAGCAAACTAAACACCGTTAGGTCCTTTCCCCTTTGCCCAAGCGCAAGCCAAGGTTACTTCAGTATAGCTGATGCTTGCATTGCTGGGCCACGAAGAACTTTATTGACGGATCGGGCTTGTCAGCATGCCTTCCACAGTCTGCTCCCTCCGAAAGTGATGAATCCCCACTAAAAGGGGACACCCCCCTATTAATCAACCAGGGTTTGTTAATCCGGGGTTAACATTACCACTACAAGGCTCCGTGCCTCTGTCTTCATTACGGATGTTGCCGTTTGCACGGATGCAGATAGCGGGCCTTTCAAACAAGAGCGCAAAGTTTTTTGAAGCGACGCATTGCTCATCATTTCCTGTCCCCAGCCCGAATTGGGAAACGTGGCGCTACCTTATTTCCCTCACACCCAGGGGAACTGGGTGTAGGGTTCCTCGAGGAGATTGCCTTCC